ACATACATACATATATATATACTCCGTATATATTATTGTGAAAGACATACACGTAATAAACTTTCAGAAAGCAACCAATAATCAAAGTCACACGCAGTACCATTAACATAAAAAACCTAAAGTTCAAAGAACAAAAGCAGACGGTGGCAAAAAAAACATGCCACAAACAAATAATGAGTTGTGGAACATCAAACAATGAGTGAAGCCTCAAATGTTGAGCCAATCTTCTCCATCAAAATAGTGTATATGAACGGAAAGAAACAAAATTAAGTGATAAACAAAAAAGAGGATGCCTCATGATTTAAAAAAATTAAAGAACCCATTTACTAAGTTGAAACGTGCCGGCAGCAAATTCCAAATAGAGCCATGTATGAACATGAAGAAACAAAGCTAAAGAGAGGGAAAAAAGGGGAAGCCTCACAATTAAAACAATGAAAAAAATATAAAAGAAACGGAATATGAAGCAAGCAAATAGAGAATCCAAAGAGAGCAGAAGCAAAATCAATAGGGGAGGAAGCAAAGTCGAACCAGAGAGAAGAAGCCCTAGCGATAAAGTGGCAAAAGAAACGAAGCCGCGGAAAGAAACACGGAGAGAAGTGAAAGCTTTGGCTGAGTTAACCCTAAAAAAATTATAAATAAAAAAAACTTTATCGATGTTCGCGATGCGCGCATTTTATCGCATCCAGTCGCATCACTTATTGCGCTGATGGACATCTATGCACTCGCATAACAAACATCGCCTGCATCACCACGAAGAATGCGCAGAGCCTTGTGCCTCACACGACTTTTCACAACTATGAATTACACGGTGAAGGGAGAATATGGAAAGTAAAGAACATTCTTGCATTTGCCTAAAACTCCATGAAATCTTACCTATCAAAAATTCAATGGGAAGGAAGGAGTATATTTGTAAAACAAATTTTTCAAATATGTTTGAATCACTAGTTCAACCATTGAACCAGTGTCGTGACCAATTTGATAACTGGTTTGGTTCTAAAAACTATGGTGATTATGAATGGTATCATGTCAGAGTATCCATTAGAAAGTAAGTTCACTAGAGACAAAAATACCTATTTCACTAATTTCTTATTAGAACAATGACAACAACAAACCCAATACAATTTGTACCCTCTTGTGGTTTAGGGGGTCATGCTGTAGGCAATCTTACCCCTATAAAAGTAGAGGTTTTTAGGATTGTCAATATATTACACAATAAGTAAACATAGTCTTAGAGTACTCTCGAGCATCACAGATTACATGCATCGTATAATGGGAAGTCATTATTGTTAAGAAATGGTCCTAGAGTAGATTACTTAAATCATGGAATAATAGAAAACTCACTGGCATCCCAATATATACTATTCTACCCTCGAGCAACAATGATGGTAAATCTGGAGGAGGTTCACGTGACCGAGAATTTCTGTATGATCCTGACCTCTCCACCTACTTTAAACAAAACAAAAATCTTCAATTAGTGTGACACGTTGAATTGTGAATAAATGATAAGCACGCTACTAAAACAAAAGTACTACACAACCATTAAAAGGATGCATATGATAGAAGGAATCAAGTAATAAATATGATGCATCAAACCACAACACGGGCAGCGAAAAAAGCTTCAACCCATTTCCAGTGAGAGACAAATTAACTTCCAGTAAAACAAACATTTGCACATATTTTTCAAAATGCAAATACCATGACAATTAAAGTGATACATTCCCATTTCATTCAAATTCCTGAAAAATCTTTTACTTTCAGTGTGTTTGGTTGGCGGGAAGAAGTGTGAGGAACCGAGTGTCCACACCCTTCATTTCCATCCCTTCCCTTCCAACAAACATTTAAATTACTATAAGTTTGACATCTAATGTCTTCAATGCAATTACGATTGATATTTCATAGCTACATTTTCAAAAAGTATCTAATTAAACATATTCATAATTACAGATTGAATAGCTCAATGTATTTTTTTATGCAAGTCAAAGTGAGGGCTTAATTTTGGGAATGAGGGAGTATAAAGAGACAGGAATTCAAAAAATTTACATTTCCGAACCTGCGCAGGAGTGGCCATGAGTTTAGGGGAGTCGTAGATGTCCAAATACGGAGGCACATCAGAGTTCACAGTCCGATTAAGGACGACTTCCGGATTTCTAGCAACGGCAGAAGCCAGCTTCATCAGGAAGGGGTCTCCAGGGTTGACCGGAGGGAAGGGGATTTCGGCACTGCTTCTACGGCTGACTGAGCACACGGCTCTAGAGCTACGCCGCTGCTTGAGAGGAGCAGAAGAGGAATGAGAACGCGGAATCATTGACGCCGTCGGCAACCGGAAGGTGGCGGTGGCCATTCTCTCTGGCCTTTCGTGCTGCGGTGGTTCCCGCTGCTACACTCTTCTGCAAGGTCTCAATTGTATGGCATTTGGACGGACAACAGGGACTCGGATAGGTTAATTCGGTGTAGCAGAACCGGAAAATACCCCAAATTCAAGTACTATATTTTATTAGATATTTAGGAGATCTATTTTGCCTGTCTCTCTAATAAGTTTTGAATTCATCTAATCGATTCTGATTTGATCTGAATGTAGTTATATTTAAATATTTTTTTATTTGATCTGGTCTGATCTGATTCTAATAAAAATAAGTAATAAGTAAAAAAAATAGTTGAGGAGAACATGGCCTTAAGATCAATTTTTTCAATTAGATTTTTTTTAAAAATTTACTTATTAAATCTACTAAATTTAAATACATAACAAAGAATATAATTGTAAGACCATGTGTTATGGGGTGTTGCATCCGCCGTGGATTGACCTGTAAGACCTCCCCTCCCCCCACGTCGTGACCATGGCGACACCCTAGGCTTGACGGTGGCATTTTAGACCAGGTGTGACACATGGTCTAATGTATGGAGTAGTATTTATTCATAAATTTTCTTTAGAAAAAACTAAACTAGAAGTAAAATATGGATAAGATATCAAAATATGAACTTCATATTTTTATCCCGTAAATAAGAATACAAGGTCAATAATGTTAATATATAGTACATGAAAAATATAACGAGATGTCACTATACTAATATCACAGTGAAAACTTATACTCCCTCCATCCAAGAATAATCTTCTCATTCTACATTTTTTTCGTCCGAAAATAATCTTCTTATTCTACTCTTTAATCTCAATGCTTCCAAAAATACCCTTCCTTCTAATTTTCTTCCACTCGTTCAGCTTTCCCTTTTTTTCCTCGGCCAGGCCACCACACCCCCTTCCCCTTTTTTTCTTTTTCTTTTCTTCTTATTCTCTCTCTCTCACCCTCCCCTTCCTTCTCTTTTCTCCTAGGTTTGTTCTTCTCATTCTTCTTCATTTCTTCTTCCACTGCGTTTTCTTCTCTCTCTCTCTTCCCCCCTTCTTCTTCGTCTTCTTCTTCCCATCCTCAACCTTGTTCTTTTTCTTTAGATATACGCCTTTGTGCCCCCCCCCCTTTCTTTCTTCTTCTTCTTCTTCTTCTTCTAGATTTGTGCTAGATCAGTGGGGCTAGCGGCCATAATAGAGCTGATGGGGGCGGTGAGAGCTAAATCTGGTAGATCTATACTAGATCTTTTTCTTCTCAGTTTTCCCTTATTTTTTCTCTTTCTTTATTGTGGCGAGGGATGAAAGAGATGGTGGGGGCTGNGGGCTGGACAGTGGTAGGGGTGGACGACGGTGGGCTGGAGTGTTTTGGTAGGATACTGGCTGGGGCAGCCTGGGGCTTAACAAAAAGATATGGGGGTATTTTGGACATTTTAATGTCAAAGTCAACACTCACTAAAAATGACCAAAAGTCAAACTAGGAAGAGTATTTTGAAATAAAACCATTCAACTCTTATTTTGAGAATAAATACTACTCCGTATATTTTACTCTTATTTGGGATAATTTCTTATATTTCTGCCGTTAATGAGGTTTTAACTTGTAACCTCTCGTATTAGAGAATCATCACCGTTATACCACTAAAATCTTTGATGATTGTGTCATAAATTATTTTCTTTTTTGTACGGAGTATTACATAAGTTAGTTTCGAAATTCTCTAGTTGTCTTTAACTTTTTTGTATAAAACCATATACTCCCCCACCCCTAAAGATTGTCATAGTTTAACTTTTTTGGTTAAACTGTGACATCTTTTTACCATGAATTAAATATAATTTAAAATAATTAAATATTATAAAAATTTAATATTTCAAATCTATATTAAAATAAATCTAATTTTACTAAATTTACATTATAACTAAATATACTTTTTTGTAATCTACAGTCAAAGGGTGTCATAGTTTGATCAAAACAGTCAAATGTGACATTCTTTTAGAGACAAGGGGAATATTTTTTAATGTGGTTATATCATATGCATGTTATGTTATAGTATATGTATATCATATTTCGTTTATTTCTTTTTTACATTTTGTTACTCATTTTTTTACTTGTCTGTAACCAAAATAATCCTTAGCTTATCAAAATTTAAAACTATGCAAACTCAAGTTCGAAGGTAGTTAGAGTTTGTTTCTGTTCTTAATATTTATTGTTATTAGAATATGATGAAATCCAAAGAGAAAAAACTATTTAGCAAAGAAGAGAATACTCGGCATATATCTAAAATTCAACTAAGAATTCAGACTTTTCAAATCACACATATTTTTATAATCTTAATTTATTTAAATTACTCACCTTTTACTCGTAATAAATTAACTTATGTCAGAAGGTCTATTCTACAATCTACACTAGGCGCTATGAGAGCATAGAGCACGTACTCACGTAGAGAGAGTTGAGCATTGAACTTTTGAGAAATGGGCGTGTATCCAATGTTAGGGATGGTAAAAATAACAAGGATTTTGCTAGGGGTACTCCACTTGGTGTATGCCAAGTGTACACCAAAGCAAAAACAAATCTGTGTGTCTGTTTTTGCCTTGGTATATACAAGTGGGGTACCTCCAGTATTTTCCAAATAACAAAACTAATCAACTCATGAAAAAAAACACAATTCATGAGTCACAAACTAAGAAACCATTTGCACCTTCATCCTCTTCCATTGTCTACAACTCAACATTGGATGAAACGGCAAGATCCAACTCGAATGATCTCCTAGATTGCTTCCTTTTAGAGAAATTTGAACTAGCCAGGAAGAAACCATCACTCATTATATTTTGCTTCGAACGGTTTCTTCTCTATCTGTCTGCCTGGAGAAATACATATTTATGTCATATAAACAAATAAACTGGTATTGCAATTCATGTTAAATCAATGTACAGAAACATGGTGAGCAATAATGAGGATGAGTGGACTGAGAAAAGAAGAAAGAATATTCAATTTCTCAAAGAATAATAATAGTCCAAAGTGAACACATTTTATAGAGTCGGTTGATGAATCTCGAATGCCTTGCATGTGTTTTGTTAGTCGTTAATTGCATTATAGTCTTGAAAAATAAAACTGATTTTGAAGTTATATGTTTGTACAACATGGATGGTGGTTGATCTCGAAAAACAATTTTGTTTGGTTTTCAATAAGCACAAATGTGGGATCATACTGGGTTGTTGTTTCAATAAGCACAAAATTTGTCAGCGCCGAAAAAACCACGTACCTGAATACCAATGTGCAGCATTTTTTGTTGGCATTATCTTGTAAGGTCTTGCAAAATCCAACCCCTAAACAAGAGAACAAAAGTAAAACACAGGGTGACAAGGACAACATCTACTTCAACTCCAAAATCAACAACAGCCCAGCAAATCCCACTAGTGGGATATGGGTGAAGTCGATGCATGCTGACCTTACCCTACCCAACAGGGGTAGAGAGGTTGCCTCTGCAAGACCTCCAGCTTAGAAAACAAGCCCAAAACTTGTTAGAGAAACCAGTGGGTAAGGGCAGTAAAGGAAGGCAATAAAGCACAAGAGATGGATGCAAAGCAAGAGAAAATTAGAGAGACAAAAGAAAAGTAAAAGACGGAACCTAAGGAACCAAAACACACACCCTACTCTAAACAACTGACAAACCAGCCCTAGGCACATCAAGAGGCGCTTTGCCTACTCTAAAGATTGACCTCCAAATGGCCATATTTCAGATCAAGTCCTCGGTTAGCTGTCAAAGTCTCAAATCTTGCCTAATCACATCACTCTTGCTCCTTTTCGGTCTCCATCTCCCCCTTTATTTGAAACAAAAAAGTTCAAAGCCAACCAATCAATTTTAGATTTTTTTTTCAAATTTGTTTATTTATTTATTTATATTACAATGAAAGCCAAGAAATCTAAAATTTGATTTTCCATTTTATTTCCTAAGGAACGTACACTTTTTCCCTTGGTATGATATTTTCTCCTTCCACTACCATTTTTCGCTTTCCAAGCTTAGTTTAACTGAAACTCTACATCCATTGGTACATTGTTGAATGGAAACTCTGTTACAAGATCAAAAAACTATAGATGTGTCATATACCGGACAACATTTTTTAATAAATAGAGAAAGCATTTGAATTTAGGTTAGCTATCAACAAACCACACTTTGGTGGCATTCATTTTCCACTGTTCTGCTGATTGTTGAGGATCTGGCTTCAAAATGCTAAGATTCTTCCCATGCACTGTTTGCTTGCTCCTTGCCAGAGCTGCAGCTAGATATGCATCATCACCAAAAAACACATATCATGTCCCTTAAAAGTGTACACTTAGAAAAATTAAAAACTGTGGAATGTCAAGCCTCCAAACCGTACATATATAGAAATCATACACAGCCATCATCGCAAAACAATGAAACACACACAATACTGTTTTTAAAAAGGGCCTCAAACAGACATCACAAAGGCAAAAGATGATAATGGTAACGCACTATAAAACACACACAATACTCCCTCTGTCCCAAACTAATCCTCCTTAATATTCTTTTTGGACTGTCCCAAATTAATCTTCCTCTTTCCTTTTTGGAAAGCTTTTCGTGGCTCACCTTTTTTCTCTCTCCGCAGCACCACTTTCGACCACACAATTTCACTTTTCTTAAACTCCGTGCAAAGTCAAAATAGGAGCATTAATTTGGGACGAAGGGAGTATAATTCGTATTCTAAATAATACATCAATGTTAAAATCAATTCAATCAATCATCGTAATCCAAACGGGACTTTAGTTTTGGGAAGGTGAGTATTTGATTACACTACATGTTGTTATAGTGTACCAAATTAAAATTAAACCTCCGTGTAAATTTACATTGCATGGAATGCATTTGATTACAATATACTCCATTTCATAGAGCTTTACCAAACTTATCCTTATAAAAACAGCTCATGGCTAGCATTGACTCAAAGAAAGACTCTTCAACAAAATCATATGTGCTTCTTTCACAACTTAAAGTAAGCATTGAAAAACCTAAGCTACTCTGGTGCAAAATGTAATGAAATAAAAACATTCACATGTCTTGTCTCCCATATCCATGCAGAAACTGTATTTGTTCTTGTGAGTACAGAACCAAACAAAATGAGTAGCATCTACATGCAAGGTATCATAATAAAACCAACTGTATTTTCTTCTCTCCCTTTTAAGAGTTGAGATGTGCTCGGGAATAGGAGGGAGGGGTGTGAGAGAACATGAATGATACTCTTGAATTTCCACTGAATCTTGTATGTTAATAATTAGTATTCGAATGGCGACAAACCCACCAACTTCACTGCAGAACTTCTTCAGGTCTTCATATTTCACCTTGGATCTAAGTACGAGTTATGTACTCGCTCCGTCCCACAAAAACGTTCTATAATTTCTTTTAGCCTGTCCCAAAAAAGGGTTCTATTTCCATTTTTTGAAAAGTTTTTGTGGCCCATATTATTTCTATCTCTGTAATATCTTTCAATCTTTTCCTTCATTGTTCTTCATACAATCTGATTCTCAGATTTAACAATCTCCTTTGCACCACTTTCAGCCACACAATTTCACTTTCCTTAATCTCGGTATCAAGTCAAACATGGAACATTTTTGCGGGATGGAGGGAGCATATGCAGGTGGTTAATATGTACAAAATAATTGGATGATGGGACAATGCTCTCAGTAATCAATATTCTGTGGGTGATGTAACAGAAATGCATAGTAATACAACAACAACAACCCAGTTGAATCCCACTACAGTAGGGTTTGGGGAGGGTGTGTGTACGCAGACCTTGCCCCTACTCGGAAGCAGGGAGGCTGTTTCCAAGAGACCCCCGGCTCAACCTGCACAAAATATATGGTAGGGAATACAGTATAACACGGATAAAGCACCAAGTACAATGAAATGAAGTTCTGCAAGCAATAGTAGAAGATTCCAATCAAACACAACACACTACAAAAAACCTATGTAGCACCGAGCTCCTATCCAGCTACTCTAATCCTAGTTCTCCAAAGGTTCCTATCTAAAGCCATATCCTCAATCAGGGTGAGAAGTCCTAAATCCTGCCTAATCACCTCCTTCCAATTCTTCCTAGGTCTACCCCTTCCCCTACTTCCCCCGATAACCGTAATCCTCTCGCAATCTCCGTACAGGGGCGTCATCATCCCGCCGTCTCACATGACCAAACCATCTCAACCTCGCTTCCCGCAACTTATCTTCCACCGGCGCCATGCCTACCTGACGTCGGATAACTTCCAGTGGCATAGTAATATTGTACTTAAATGATACTGGTATAGCAGATAGTCAGTAGACTACGTTACTAGACAATCATCAACACTTGGGGTAAGTTAGTAAATGAATGCTAAACCACACTCTTTCAGAATCCATGAATTACATTTTGCTAGCCCTTTTCAAAAATGGAAATAACCTCACTGGTTTTTACATAGCATGCTTCGTAATATATGTCTTAGCAAGAATCCATTTTGAGCGTGCGACTAGAAAAACCAATTTTTTTAATAAAAGTGGCTTGAAATTACAAACACAAACAAACAAACACTATACCGGTTCTAGGCCTTTGAGTTTAGAAGTTCTGGGTTATTTTGCTCTGAACGATAGTAAGGGAAGTGGCCTAGGTTTTCGTTAGACTCAACCCAACTCTTTCCAGGAATCTTTATCACCCTTTTCTGTTGCATCTTACGCCGAATCTTGAGAGCATCGTCCCACCGTCCAGTTGCTTTGTACACATTACCCAGATACACATAACTCATATGGTAATCGGGCTTCAATTCAATTGTTCTCTTTGATATTCTCTCAGCGACAATTGGATCTGTAGTGCTGCTACAAGCTCCAAGCAGGCAAATCCAAAGAGATGGATCACTTTTGAACTCTGACCTGTTAATCAAACACTCTGCTTCTTCTAGTTCCCCGGCACGACATAGAAGATCAATCATGCAGCCATAATGCTCAAGCCTGGCTTTAATCCCATAATCATTCATCATAGAACAGAAATACTTGCGTCCCATGTCCACAAATCCACTATGACTACAAGCAGTAAGAACAGAAACGAAAGTGATATAATCGGGCTTGAACCCTTCCCCAATCATATTGTTAAAAGTTTTAATAGCTTCCTCTCCTCTGCCATTCTGTGCAAACCCAGATATCATGGAGTTCCAAGAAACCACATTCCTAACATCCATTCTTGTGAATACGTTATGTGCAGCACCAAAACATCCACATTTTGCATAAAGATCAACTAGTGCAGATTCGACTACAATGTCCATGAATCCACCTCGCCTTAAGAACTGGCAATGAACTTCCTTCCCTAGTTTCAAGGCAGCCAATCCTGAACAGGCACGGATTACAGTTCCAAAAGCATGAAGTTCAACCTCATCCATCATCTTAAATAAGTCAATAACTTTATCATACTCACCTTGGTGGCAATACCCGGTTAGCAAGGCACACCAAGAAACTGAATTCCTCTTATCCATGCTGTCAAAAACCCGGCGAGACTCGTTCATAAGCCCACATTTGGCATACATATCCACTAAACAGCTATTAACATACACATCGCCACACATCCCATGAGCAAGAACCTTTGCGTGCACTTGTTTTCCTTCTTTCAACATACCTAAATTTCCCACAGCAGTCAAAACACTTCCAAATGTATGGGTACCTGGAAGCAGCTTCTGTTTCCTGTGCTCTGAGTGGAAGATTTCTAAAGCTTCCCTAAACAAATCATTTTTAGTAAGGGCTGAAATCATTGAGGTCCAACAAATATCATCAAGAATGGGAATTTCATCGAACAACTTCAGTGCATCACCCGGTTTGTAATTCTTCCCATACATATCAATCAATCCACTAAATATAACAGAATTATCATAAAAGCCACGTGTAATCACAGCCCCATGGAAGCACTGCCCAAGTCTCAACTCCCGGAGCTCCGAACAAGCCTTGATCGAAGTAGATAAAGTAAATGCATTTGGCTCAACCCCAAAATCCACCATTTCCTCATACAACACAAGCGAAAGGTGAGGCTTGCCTGCCCTAACATAACCTGATATGATTGATGACCAAGAAACAACATCCTTGTAGACTAACCCATCAAAAAGGCGTCTGGTTTCAGAGAAATTTCTTCCAAGCTTGAAATAGAGAGAAAGGAGGTTGTTGCCAACAAACCGGTCAGTGTCAAGGCCTGCCTTGATCACACGGGCCTGCAACTGGAGACCAGCTTTGAAAGAGCCAGTTTTCACACACCCTTGTACAAGGGTAGCATACAGGACTGGTTTCACATTTATGATGTCTGTCAGGTCCAGAGAGTTGAGGAGCTTAAGGGCTTTGGAGATATGGCCTGAATTGCAAAACTGGATGATTTCAAATTCTTTGGAGGCCGGATTGGGAACAGCCCGGTAATGTCGTCTGGTTCTGCATCCATAAAAACTCTTCACCAACCTTGTCATCTACACTTTTCCCTGGGGGAAAGTATACATCATTCATAGCTAAAGAAAGAAAAAAATAAATAAAGAAAAGGAATGTAATGTAGGCGTCTATCCAAAGGGCACAATATTTGACCTTGTCATTCTCATTTCATCTGATTATGAACAATATTTAATCCGAGCAAAATATAAGTAAAATTGACAAATTCTGTGAAAGTAATAGGAAAGGACGACTGAACAGAAGAAATACGTACCAATATAGCTGCATTTTGACTGTGAATCTGCGCGAGTGGCGCCGTGAGATTAATCGGACAGTACCGAGAGATGTGAAGGCGCGGCGTCCGCAGTTCGCTGCCAAGAGGTGAAACTGCTACGACGGCGGCGAATGGAACACTGGCGAGCTTGTGAACTCTGACAAGTGGGCGAAAAAGTGGCTTCAGGGCCGTACCGTAGAAAGATTTATCGGAATGGCAGAGAAGGCTTTGAAATTTTGACTGAGCAGTGTGCTCCTTTGCCGCAGGAGGAGAGAGGGGGTGACTGAAATGAAGAAAAAGCAGAGTTTGGGAGTCTCTCCAATGGGACCAGGTACAGCGGCCCAACAAACACAAAAATATATGTAAGTGTGTAAACGAACCAAATCTAAGCAAACATCAATATATTTGAATTTGTATTTACTTAATTTTTTTGAATATCAATCGAATCCGAATGCGAGGTGAATTAAAAATAAGATTTCAATTTGTATTTGATTAATATTTGAGTACTTAATAAATCCTAAACGAATATTTTAATAATCATATTCTGTAATTTATATGATAGACCAACATAGATTTTGAATAATTTAACCTACAATACATCTTATACTATGTCTAAAAACATTGATACATTTTCACCTCACAAAATTATATTTTGTAAAACATACTCCGTAAATATTAAAAATCATATGCTTTAGATTTTGGTGTTACGTTAATTTGTTGAATTCTTAATAATTTAAATACATTTTATACTATATTACTTTGCTTGACTATATTGATGTTGAAACATGGTTTGTGTGTATATACATATATTCGAATTTTTGAATAACACCTGTATCGAATATACTCCTATTTATATTTGTATTTGTTTAATATTTGAATCAAAACTGATATTTGAATTTGTATTTGAATAATGCGGATTCGAATCATTATATTTGAATACAAATCATGAAGCGAATTAAAATACAGAGTATTTGATTTGTTTACATCCCTAAATACAGTCCAATAGCCTATGGGAGAAGGTAAAGGATAAGAGTAAAATTATTTTTCATGAAATAATTATAGTTTGAACCTTTGAATAATTAATTTGTCGTGCATGGCACTGGTAAGAATCTAGGATAAACAAGAAAAATATAGGGAGTACAAAGGAGTAATAGCATTGGTGCCCCCGTAATTTACAAAAGAAGCGACAAAACCCCCTCTACTTTTAAAAGTTAGTTGTAAAACTCATTTTAGATATGAAATGACATTTCTGTCATTGGTTTTTCTCTAGCTTCAAATTTCACTATTTTCTTTATATTTTTTGTTATACAAATAAATAAATTAAAATATATGCCCTCTTTCTGAAATTAAAATTTTTTCATTTATTCAATTTTCAAAAATACAATTTTTTTAGAAAATGTTACAAAAAATGAAATAAAATACACTTTTTCATTATAAGTAAAAGTAAAATAAATAAAATAAAAAATTAGATAACATATATTCACTCTCTCTCTCTAATTAAAAATTCTAACTTATTTTTTTAACAGTAAAATAATTTTTTAAGGACTTTAAAAAATGAAGAACAGAAAGATGAAATAAAATATGAAGTTAAAGAAAAAGACTATTTTTATATTTTTATTTCTTTTCATTACCTTTTTTAACCATCATTATTTTTACTTTGTACATAATATTTAATTTTTCATTTTCTTTTGTAACATTCTCCAAAAAAAATCTTGTTTTCCAAAGTACATTATGAAAAATTCTAATTTGAGATGGGAAGCATATATTTTATTTTATATATTTTTGTATAATAAAGGAAATTGAAATTGGAACAATTCAAGATCGGGAAAAACAAAAGGCACAAATGTCATTTTTGCTTTAAAAATAGGTAAGGGGCATATGTGCTCCATTTAGAAACCACATGGACTTTACACGTAACTTTTGAAAACAGAATGAGTTTTGACGCCCATTTTGTAAACCACGGTAGGGGTGAGCAAGTACCGAACTGATACCGAAATTTCCTGAAAAAACCGAGAATACCGAATCGAAAAATACCGAACTAAAAAAGTACCGAGAAGGAACCGAACCGTACCAAACCGAATGGTCGGTATGGTATTCGGGAACGATACGAGATGACGTCCCATACCGGAAATCCCGTACCGAACATATATACTAAAATATTATAAAAATAATACCCCGAAGTAATATTTTTATATATTCCTTCACTAAATAATAATTTTTTTAAAAAAATTTGGTTCAAGTTCTATTATGTGTAAATTATACTTTTATTTGAGTTTTAATTTTTGTGTATGAGCATAAAAGTATCCACAAAGATTCGAAATACTTTTTTGTTGTCATTCATTTTTTAGTTTGTGAAATATAAACTAAGTTTTGATACGCATCTCTTGCATTTAAAAATTCATTTTTATAAATTTTTCATGTTTTTTTATTTAAATTCACTTTTAATTTTCAAAAATAAAGGGGTATTGTTAAATTTTAACGTGTAAAGTATGTATGTATCTTCATCCCGATTTGTACCGAAACCGACACCTAACCATCCCGAACCATACCGAACTGAAATTTCGGGATCGGGATCGGTACACAGTAAAATCTCATACCGAACTGAAATGTTTGATACAGTATCAATACGAGCTAAATACCGTACCATACCGTACCATGTTCACCCCTAAATCACGGGGACACCTATGCTATATTGCTATTAACCTGGAGTACAAAAATCTTATGGGCAAACGGGCCGAAAAACATAGAGTAAAATGGGTGCACAGAAGCCAGAAGCCCAAATAGCCTCATACCCACTGAAATACAAGAGAGAGAGAGAGAGAGAGAGAGAGGTAAGTGAGAAGATGGAGAAGATGCGGTGCCAGAGGATCGGCTGCAACGCAGTTTTCACCGAGGATGAAAATCCAGAAGGTTCCTGCACTTATCACGATGCGGTCAGTTCATCTTCCTTCGGTCGTCTTCTTCGCAATCCACATTTCGCATAAGCTTGCAACTGTTATTTCTCCTGTGCATTCTCTATTGTCTAAATATATTTGTCTGGACGCAAAATCGATCAGGTTGAAGAGTTCTATACTCTTCAGGGTTTCATTATTTCTATAGGATATACTCTTTCTTTAGGGATTTGGTTATCCAATTTGCAAAATAGAACTCCTTAACTTCAGTTGTCTTTCATTGATGGCAATCATGCCTATAGACTTTGTCAACAGTTTATTTGACAATTCCTAGTGATTTGCTTAGAAATTACTCACATAGAAAATGGACAACTAACTCCCCACACTCGAAAATGAGAAAGTGGGCAACTAAATTAGGGCAGAGGGAATCCTAATTACTCCGTAACTTTCTATCTTCAAGATGATAGCCGGTAGGGGTTTACCAGTTGATGTGGTTGGATGCTAAAACTGGAAAATCTGCCAGGGAAAACTATAATATTTGCTATAGTTTTGCACAAGTACATTTGGTCTTCCAGAATGGGAAGCCTACGCCTACCATGACATGAAAAACAGTGTTGGTTGTGCTTTGCTAAGATAAGGGTCTGTGGGAAAGTAGTAGGGTGTGTGTATACTGTACAGAGACTTTATTTACCCCTACTCAGAAGTAAAGAGGTTGTTTCCAAAGAGACCACCAGCTCAAGCACCTCAAGAAATCACATACACAGCAATGACCCCATATGTTTACAAGTTAGAACATAGAGTGGTTGTTTTCGGATTATCCACGATGGGCGTCGACTATTGAAAGAAAACAACTTCTTTTCCAAAAACCATTTTCATTCTGCAGTGTTTGGTTGACAGTTAGATTTTTTGGTTAATATTCGAGAAATTGAAAATAAAGGCTATCTGCTTGACACCTCGTATTAATTTCATGTTAAGAAAAATTATACGTACTTTGATTTAATATTAATATGAATTGTAACAAATGCTAAATGTAACTCTCTTCGCAAAACAAACTTCACATTTTATATTTTTCCTCGTCCCAAAATAAACTTCACACTTTCTTGATTTATTTAAAGAGAAAAGAATGTGTGACTCAAATCATTTCTCTTTCTACCAAACAAATTCTAACTACACTCTTTACGTTTAACACTTTTCTTAAACTCTTTGAAATCAAACTTTGAAATTTTTTATGGCTTGAAGGGTGTATAATAATGATAGTTATTCTAAGGGAAAAGTAAATTGAATGACCCAACCTTTATAGGCATGAGCTGCTACCACATTGTCATATAAGTGGTGCCCATTGATGACTTGTTCACGTGAATACATGTCGTGTTAATATAGTCTATATTTCACGAATTTATCATAGAGAAGGTTGAACAAATCAACTTCTTTTAAACCAAATTGTACTCCAGTAGTTGATTCTATGAACTTAGTTATTAGGTAATCGTAATTTAATACAGAGTAATGTCATATCATTGATAGGGAATACCTAAATTTAAAAGTACTCTGTATCATCTATTACAAGTATCATAAAGTGTTTGCAATTCTTAGACAATCGTTAATTAAAAAATTAATTTATGTCTTTACTATGTAAAACTCTTTTGATGTATAAGATGTATTTAAATATTTCCTTTGCCCCAAAATGAACTTTACATTTTCCTTGTGCGTCTAAACTTTACACTTCTCCCATTACCTTTTTTACTATTTAAGAAAGGAACATGTGGCTACAAATCTCTTTTCTAAACAAATTTAAATAATACTTTTTCACTTTTTTCAACATTTTTATTCAACTAAGGAAAGCTCATTTTGGGACAAAGGAAGTATTGCATTAAGAGTAGCTCTCTCAATTCATTACAGACTACACACATGAAGTCAATAACTACTTTCTTTATTTGAGGACCTTGGTTCTTATAGAATACACAAGTAGCAAAAGCAACAATCCTATCTGATCTCTTAAAAAAGTTTTACAAAAAGTCTGTACAAATATTAGTTTACATACTAAGCACTTTAACACCTCCCTCAAGTTGGTGTATATACATCATAAGTACCAAGGTTATCACAAATGTAGGCTATTTGAGGTCTGCTATGGACCTGGTGAGGATCATTGAAAGACCCCTGGCTCAAAAGCACAAAGGACAAAGGCTAGTATTTTTTTCGTCATGGACAAAGATTAGTATAGTTCAACAAGTAAAGATAAAAAAAAAAGGAGGGATAGAAGAAAGAAGCTAAACACACACCCTACTACACCTAACTATTAACTAATTATTAAGGTTTACATTGAAAGGAAATTAAACCAAACAAGACCTACCCTATGATTCTAATACTTGTTATCCAAGTGTCCCTATCTAAGGTCACATTCTCAGTGAGTTTTTGAAGCTACTGGCCAGTCTAATCAATTAATCAGTAATCACCCTGCATTACCTCGTTCCAACTGTTCTTGAGTCTATCTTGACTCCTCAAATATCCCATCTCTAACCTTTCGTAAATCCTCACTAAAAAGTGTACTCCTCAACACGTGGTCAAACTAGCCTCACACATCTTACCCTCTAGAAATATCACTCTTACCTTGTCTTATCTTGAATATCCTTGTTTCATACTCTATTCGTCCTTGTGTTCCCGCAAATCCATCTCAACATTCTCATCTTTGTCACACTGCACATGTATGTTCTTCATCGTCCAGTAATCTTTCCCATACAACATAACCTTTCTAACCACTAGATAAAACTTGTCTTTCAGTTTAGCGGATACATTTTTGGTGCTCAAGACACCTAAAGCTAGCTTCCATTTCATCTAGCCAACTACGATATGATGGATGACATCCAATATCTCTCTTTCCATCAGCCTGGATGATAGATCCAATGCATCGAAACCTATCCCTTTTAGGTAAAAATTGAAAATCATCCTCACTTCTACTTTTGGATCCGTTATTTTTCTGCAACTGTACTCCATGTTCATATCAACACTTAGGAGTCTATCATCGACTCCCTGTTTTGTCAATTAAAGCAATATCGTTTGCAGAAAGCATGAACCAAGGTACTTTCCCTTGAATATACCACGTCAATTCATCCATTACCAAGACAAAAAAAGGACTGAGGGCTGACCTGGTGTAGTCCTAAACTCTTATCTCTACCAAGTAGTGTTCCCAGTCTCAGTTTCTTCCACAGGACCTCCCTATGGAGTATGGATTCAGTCATAGGCTTTCTCGAAGTCAATAAAAACTAGGGTAGGTCCCTCTTCCTATCTATATAGTGCTCCGTCAACCTTCTTAAACGTGAATGGCGCATGTGGTCGACCATCCTAGCATTAATCTGAATTAATTCTCAAAAACAGTCACCTCTTTCCTCTTCCTCATCTCTACTACATGTTTCTCGACCTTCGTGGTGTGTTTGAGTAATTTAATGCCCTATAAATATTACAATTTCGGATATCACATTTGTCCTTGTGCAATGGGATCACTGTGCACTCCCTCCACTCTACGAGCTTCTTAGCCGTCTTGAAAATGAATTAAACTTAGTGAGCCACATGCCCACATCAACCCCTCTTTGCCAACCGTCTTCTAAAGCTCAACCAGGATCTTGTTTGGTCCCATAGCTTTTCCCCTCCTCATCTTGCCAGTAGCCAACTCCATCCCCAGCCTAATACGCCGCTAGTAGTTGAAATCTCGATGAATCTGAGAATACCCCAACTCACCTAACACAGAACCTTTGCCCCTTCCACACTTAAAATGCTATGGAAATATGACTGTCATTCATTCCTAGTGGCTATTGCTTCCAAAAGTACTTTTCTATTTTCATCTTTCACACATCTCACTTGTTTTAAATCCTACTTCATCCTCTCTCCTCCTTTCTCTTCAAGATCTTTAATTCTTTATAGATATGTTCAAAAGTCATTGCTTTAACGGCTGATGTTGCTAGCTTAGCCTCTTTCATCGCAATCTTACTCCCATCGTTGTTCGGTCTCCTCTTCTCATCATCTTCACTCCACAATCTTCTTGTATACTGCTTTTTTGGCTTTCACTTTTCATTGGGCTTTGTTGTTCCATCACCAGTCCCCACTGCTGCTGTTTGAGTTACCTTTCGCGCTCCCTAACTCCTAACACTTCCTGAGCAACCTTCGTCCCTGATGGAGTTGACAATTTTAGAGAACATGGTGTTAGCAACTTAGCATCCCCGCTAGTCGTCCAAGCACCCCTAGCTTATACCTTCTCCACTAGCTCTTGAATATTATTCTTATCCAAGCCCCTTCGCCAAATACGAGGTACACGGTACACCACTCAAAGCTCCCCTCTTTCTCTCGCATCTCACTGAAAAATTCATTACCAATAGCTTATGTTAGGTCGTTAGGATCTCACTCGGGATTACTTTCGAGTCCTTGCAAACAATGTTCGAAAAGGCGTATTGCGGTTTTGAGGCGTTTTCATTTCATGGCGTATTGCGTAAGCCTTGAGGCGTAAGCCTCAATTTTTAAATTGAAATACATTCACAAAACAATTTAAAACCAAAGATAGAACATAATGTATAACATAAAGAAGAAATATTATGCAATATTCTAATTTCTGAAACACCAAAATAAACAATACAATACTATGCAATAATTCATCTTAAAAACAAAAAAAATAGAACAATTAGCACATCAATTATTTTAAAAAAAGAAGAAAAAAGGAGATTAACAGGTAAAAAAAATCATCTCATCCAACTACTTGAAAAAATACCAATCATAAACTCATAAAAAACATCAATTGAATGCTAGTGTACTTCACAAAAAGATTACCAAAAAAATAAGAAAAAGAAAAAATAGCACCACTTGACAATTGTAAAAAGAGAAAAAGGCAAAGTTGGACAGCTGTAAAAAGCAAACATAAAACGCAGCACCCTATCCTTTGCATGTGGCCATGTGCTGGAATGAAAGAGCAGAGACGCAGAAAAAAAAACATACCTTTTCGCCGGAGAAGAAGATTGAAGATGGCCGACGCTGGAGATGGTTCGTAGCTCGCAGAAAGGTAATCGACAAAGGCAATTAGGGTAATCGACACTCGACAAAGGTAATTTTAGGATATATACACTTGATTGGGTTAATTAATTGGAGTAATTGACAACTTTAACCTTCAATATCCGAAATTTTAATCGTTTAATTTCCTAAATTCTAATCCTTGAATTGCGTAAGCCTCAATGCGCGCACCGGCGCGTACGCCCCATGGCGTACGCCTTTCAGAGAATTGCGTAAAAAAACCTATAGCGTGAAATCGGGATTAGCACCAGTGCGTAATTTCCGGAAAAAGTTACGAGGCGCGCCTTGAGGCGGGTTTGCGTTCCGCCTTTTCGAACATTGCTTGCAAAGACCTATATCAAACTTCCTACGGTGCTTTTCAACACTGGAGTTAGCCATGAGTCGGTCACCTAGACACTTGCTCTAGCAAAACTCCAAAGAGAGACCCCCACCAAAACCAGCCCCAGACTGAGGGCCCAATGTGACCATTGAAATCGCCTCTTATGACTAACTTCTTTGACAGCATGATATCTCTAACTACTCCTAAGAAGTTTCTCTTGACTTCCTCGTCAAGGCCTATTTGGGACGCATAAGCGCTAACATTTGATAGTTCAGTGGCCATCAACCTGCCACTAATCCTCGTTACCACAATCACAATCTCCTTATTAACCAATATGCCAAACCCATTCTTTCTAATCAAAGCACCCGAGTACCACAGCAAAAGTTGTCCACATCTTGGGTGTGTGCATGACTAATAATAAGATCAATATGGTTAGAAATCTCTAGCATCTAGATTTTTAGTTTTACAGCTTAACTAATATATGATAGAGTAGGCATTTGAGTGATTTGACCAAGTAGCTTCCGAGTAAAAATTTAACAACTTAGGCAATAACTGAAATCGACCACACTTGGAAGTGCAGATACTATTCCTGGACTGGCTATTCCATGTGATTATTGTATAAATACAAGTAAAGGGATGTTTTTCATTTTCTAATAATAATATTTTAATGGTATTGGAATATGTAAAGATGATGTAAAAAATGAATAAAGAACAAGTTAGCCTTGAAGACTTAACATACTTTGCTTGTAGAGAGGATCTATCTAAAATAAATAGTTGGCCACATCTTAGCATTGGAGTTGTATTTTAGCTATTCAACCTGTAAAATTTGAAAAGATATGCAATAAATTTGTTGCTTTGTCTTACAAACCCCTGTTTACCCTTCTCAGCAAAACTGTTGGCATGTGTGAAATTGCATTATCCTCATATGCACTTCGTGAAGTTATAAAATTTGTTAATTTAGCTATCTCTGTGCATTGCCAGTGAAGCTAAAAGAGTAACTATTGACAATATTTTATTTTGGAACACATAATGTACTGAATTAAAATGACACATTAAATTTCCCATGCTTCATACTTTCTATGAAGTGTGGGTAGTTAATGGAGAATGCACATAGGGTGAAACGGGAAAAGCCTCTGTTTTTACAGGGGTAAGACTGTGTACATCTCATCTCCCATAGCCAAACAGAATTGTACTTGGTTTTTGTTAATTTATCTATTTATCTATTGTTTTGTCTTTGGGGAAAATCTTACTTAACATGAGATCAATTGGAGCTTCATCTTGTAGTTTATGAATAAAATTTTATGCATTGATCTTTTTTTGTTTCATTCTGATCGCGTTGATCTTTAAGGAATTTGGATGTATACTGATTTACTGACTTTATGCTATCTTATGCATATGTATGATCGTGCTGCCGGGCACATACTTTTCATCAGGGTGTAAGTCAAATATACCCAGCTCTTTTATATAATACTCCGTATTTGAGGATATCTTGCTTCCATGGTCACCCTTTTCTACCATCTCACAGCCTATGTTCCATGACGGGATGAAAGAGTGGAGTTGTTGCAAGAAAAGAAGTCATGATTTCAGCTTGTTTCTAGAAATTCCTGGGTATGGATTTTGCATTCTTGTCTATATGTGGCTTTCCTTTATGCTGGAGAGGCCAACTTTCATGTTCTCTTTCACCAATGAGAAACTCTAGTTACTCTACCAGGTTAACTTAACCAATTAAAGACCTGAAATAAGATAAGGTCTGCATACACAAACCCTCCCCACCCCACACCCTACTCTTTGCGGGATTTCACTGGGTTTGTTGTTGTTTACATCTTAACTTTTGGGTTGTTTTATGACCTAATATTTGGAGGCACGTAACAAGAGGGTAAGATTGGTGTCAGTGGTGCGTTCTCCCAATTAAGCTTGTCTTCTGAAAGTTCAACAAAAGATAACCTTCTTCTATTAGTGACCCTTAGCATATTGCTCATTAAAATTGTAACAAAAGGCTCTTGGTTTGGGGGGTTGCAGCCTTTGATGGCATCAACTTCCCTTGCAATAGAGGAGGTTGGTATGGGTGAAGGGAGTGAGCTGAAGTGGGCTTGATGAGTGGTGGCAAGAATGCAAGATAAGAGATAATAGAGTTTGAAACACCACAAGCTAGGCTTATAAATCTCTAGACTTGATCAAAATCTGTTTGCTGGAACATGAGGCTTTTCTCTTGATGTAAATTTTTGTAGGGCAAAACAAGTCTATTCAATGTGTTACTGTGTAGAATAGTGCACACACACACACACACTAACTCTTTGTTGTTGTCATCTCAACTCTTTTGGGTTGTTTTATGACCTAATATTTGGAGGCACATAACAAGAGGGTAAGAATGTAAGATTGGTGTGTTTTCCTTTGTGCTGTGCAGTGTGCACAACTACAATGCAGAAGGATTATATCTATTTAATATACGTCTTGAATCATTTCAAAAATCAATGCGTATCAAAGGGAAAAACATACCCCTCCATCCAGCTGGCAAAACTATAATCCTTACTCCCCTGGCCCCAAATAAACTTCACTTTTGCTTGTGCACGTGCATTAAAATAGTGGAGAAGGTGTAATTGATATGCGTTTAAAAAGGAATGAAATATTATCAATCACACATTTCTTTCCATAAAAGGAATGGTAGATTTTATTTGTGAGATCCAGTAAAGGAAAAAGTGAAGTTCAGTAAGCGAAACACACAATAGTTAATTTCAATCATAATATTTTGTTTGCTTTGCTTATGAAGGTGCAAGACAGGGAAACACACAACAGAAAAACCAGTTTTAACAAAGCCAGCTGCTGCTCTGGGCCGACCGGTTCCCGCTTCAACTCCCATTGCAAGTGCATCTCCCAGAGAAACGTGTCCTAGGTGTTGCCAGGGTTTCTTCTGTTCAGATCACGGTATGGTATGCATATTTATTTCTTGAGTTAAGTTGGGTAAATACTTGCAATTGTTCATGATTCATAACATATCTAATGAAATGGTCTTGCCCTGAGGCTCCAAATTTGAGCCCATTTGAAACTCAATCTATCGATCTCTGTGGTTGGGTAACCGAAATCTGCTGTGTTTCCTTGTTGTGTATGCTCTTAAAGGCTCTCAACTAAGACAGGTGAATCCAAAGCCTTCAAATACAGCAGCATTCACCAACTCTAATGAAAGTGTTCAAGATTTACAAGAGTGCCATCATCCCCCACCAAAGAAAAAAATTGACATAAATGAGCCTCAAATTTGTAAGAATAAGGGATGCGGCGAGACCTTTACGGAGAAGGAAAACCACGATAGTGCTTGCAATTACCACCCCGGCCCAGCTGTGTTCCACGATCGAATGAGAGGGGTGAGTCACTATGGAGTGTACCTTGTCCATTTTGTCATGTCTTTTGCTGCATTTATAGTTGACAAATGCAAAAGTCACAAACAAAGAAAACCACAAAATGCACAAACTTGTCATTTGTGAACCCACTAAAAGAATAAAATTGTCGCAAAAAATTTAAAAACGTGAAATCTTAAATTCATAAATGGTCAGTTTGTGCATTTTGTGGCTTTTTGTTTGTGACTTTAGCATTTCTCTTTATGGTTCGTAATGTTGTGTTTGTCGCATTGTAGTGGAAATGCTGTGATATTCATGAGAAGGAATTTGATGACTTCATGTCCATTCCGCCTTGCACGAAGGGATGGCACAATGCTGATCCAACGACATGACTGGAAAGAAATGTGGATGAAATGAAAAATTCTTTGATCTACCAACGTCATTTTTTCTCTGTTTGTGACAAAATTGTGTACCATTTTAGGAGATCTTTTGGTCAAATGTTCTTGGGACTTTTACATATCCTTAAACTAATTTGGTCAATTTCCTAGGTTGCAGCATCATTTCTTCCTTACATTGTGTTTGGTTCGAGGAATTTGATAGGGAAAAAAATGAAGACAATGATAAGGAAAGTAATTTCTTGTTTGGTTAGAAAGAAAGAGAAACATAGAAAGAAAAGAATGTGGAGAAAATAAATTAAGGAGAGAGTAACGTTCTGAACCTCTTTCTTTTTCTTTTCTTCCGAATTCTGTGAGCCAAACATAGTGTTAAAAGTGAAACATTATGTGATATTGACGATGCATTCTTATTTTTAGTTTTGCTTTGATTTATACTAGATTCATACCCGTGCGTTGCACGATCAATAATACGTTATAGAATGAGCATTACAAATTATTTAAGCTTTCCATAAATGCAAATGGATTAATATTAGAAAATGATATACATTGAAATTGATGAGAAATTTTAAAACTGTTTTTCAAAATTGAAGTGAGAAAAAAGAGATTACATAACAAATTACTATAAGGTTCAAAGGGGATGATTTGTTTTATAAACTACATTCATTGTCGAGCTAGCTGGTTCCCCATTTTCATCATAGTAATATTTTTAAACCACTACAATCTGTGACTCTTGATACTATAACATATAATGGTTCATGTCTGAATACAGGCTTCTTATCACAATGATTGTCCTTGGCTTCTTGAGAAAAATTCCGCCTTAAGTGCTCACTGGATGCTAAATCCCATTTGTCCATGTATTCAGTTCTTGAACGAATACAACGTTCATTTTCTGGAAAAATAAATAAATAAAAGTTTTAAGTTTAAAAAAAGAATTTAAAATTGGAAATGGGTATGTAATTTGGTTAATGTTCGTGCTGTGCATTAGTTTGGGAAAAAATATTCCTGCATATTTGGTTATTTAAAATATTCCTGTAATTTGGTTATTTTATCCCGAAGCTTCCTTTTTTTATTGTGACCGCGTATTCATTATCTTTCCCTCAGCTTTCTCTTTGCTTCACTCTTAGGAAATGATATAGGTAAGTTGTGATTTTATACATTTTTTCATCGTTTATTTTTCAAAGTGTTCTGAAAATTCTCACAAACACAAAGAAAATGTTATGTATGGAAGATTTAGCTTTACACAAAGTGCTCTTTATATAAAATGAATAGAAATCACAAATCACGATTTAGCTGGACATACATTTCCGAATTTTTTTAGTGTACAACCATTTTATGGTATTAGCAAAGTAATACTTATCTAAATAAATATCTTGAATTCACATGCAAGTTTAAGAATTAAAATTCCCAATTTAAATTCCTTGGTTTGAAGGATACATGCAATGTTCCAATTTGAAAGCATCGCTTTCATGCATGTTTTTACGTAGTATTTTGCAAGTTCATACATCATTAAATGTGGAATGTGAAACCATAATAATTTGGTCTAGTGACACGACACTTACGAGTAATGCATTTCACTAGAGGTGGCAAATCGGTCGGTCAGGTCGGGTTTGGGTTCGGTCACTTCGAGTTCGTGTTATTTCGGGTCGGAGTCAATTCGGATTCGGGTTGAGAATTGTATGTTCATGACCCAGTATCATCGGGTTTGGGTTGACCCAACGAGTTATGACTTTAGTTTTTTAAATTTTTAAATTAACATAAACACTTACATTTTCTATTAAATAAATTTAAAATATTAAAAAATATGTATTAAATCTATTAGATTATTCTATTTTAAATTCTAAATTTTTTTAGATATATAAATCAATATAAGGAATTTTAAAAAAATCTTAAGTTTTAGAAAAAAGTAAGATAATTATGCAATATCATTAAAATTTTGTCTAAAAATATAAATTTATACATAAAAAATGAGTAGTAAAGCGTATGACTTTGAAAAACTCCTACTTTAGCGGGTTGGTCAGGTCGGGTTTGGGTTCGGTCGGGTTTGGCCCATTTTTTGTGGGTCATTTCGGGTTCGGTCAACTTCGGGTTCGGTCATCAAAACCTTTGTTCAAAACTCAGTGTTTTCAGGTCGGGTTTCGGGTCAAAAACAGGTCGAGTCATTTTTTTGCCAGGTCTACATTTCATAAAGGAGCCGTCGAGTCTAAAAATAGTGTCCGGTTCCATGGCCACTGGATTCCAGTGGCCACGGAAGCCACTGCCCCCATACGGAGCTCTGTTCATAAAATTGATGATTCTTACCCCCTCTAACCCCCCCGGTAGACCCCCCCCCCGCCAAGTTCCGACCCAAACTAATCACCCAACCTACGTCAATTGCACCTCGTAAGTATAATTGACTTTAAAGTCAAAAGTTTTGACTTTATACTTACGAGGTGCAATTGACGTAGGTGTGGTGATTAGTTTGGGTCAGAACTTGGCGAGGGGGTCTACCGGGGGGGTTAGAGGGGGTAGGAATCATCCATTTTATGAACGGAGTTTCGTAGGGGGGGCAGTGGCTTCCGTGGCTACTGAAATCCAGTGGCCATGGAACCGGGCCGCTAAAAATAATGTAATTATTAATATATACTTTTTCGAAAATTTGTTGATGTACAACGTATGGAGAAGACCAAAAGCTATTAACTAATTAAATCATTTATTACTCCTGCACGGGAAACTACTTTTTATCCTCTTAATTTTTATTTTTTTTCCCTTCCAATTCTTTGAGTAATTCCATAATTGGTACTTTACAACAGGTGGTTTCCCTATTTAATTTTTTTATGGGTATCTTTCCACAAATAGTCCTTTTTTATCTTCTATCATATTGGTGGTTAATTTGAGGGCTAAAAATGTAATTTCGCAATGATAATATATCTTTTTTGTCATACACAATTTCAAAGGCTGGTTCGTTTTCGTCGTTGGTGAATTACAGTTGCTTTCTACTACAACCATAGTCTATAAATGTATTCTTTCGTCGGAATCCTAGCCCACAATCATAGTCATTATTTTTGTGTTATCCGCTTAACCAATATCAGAACACGTCACTAGACATAATGTTAATGTCAAATTATACTTTTAGCCTTTAAATTAATTCCAACATGGAGGAAGATAAAAAAAGGACCATTTGTAGAAAGGCACCCTTAGAAAAGGACTATGGGGATAATATTTGATAATAGAGGACTAAATATGGAAACCCCTCTGTTATAAAAAACCAATTATGGAATGAGTCCACTAAGGGTACATCACTTGTGTACCCCATACACCATATACTCCCATTACTCCCCCATATACAAAGTAATATTCCATTTAGATTATTGTATGATTTGTTAAAATTGATAAAAGATCTTTTAAAATTGATAATTTTATATATTTAGTTTTCTATTAACAAAATACATTTGGAATCCATTTATGAGTATATTTAATGATAGTCTTTTATTTGACCTTGCGTCGTGTTGGTTATAAATTAATGGCTTAAAATAGATATCGATCATAATTTTGATCATATATTCTGGTATTGGCTTGACAAATAATATAATAATAATGAGAATAGTTGCGAACTTGAATTCTAACTAGTGACTAATTTTTTTGAAAGCAAAACATGCCATTAACGAATTAAGTGCGAAATACAAGCAGGCGGATCGGAAGGCCAAATGTTGCCAAAACATGTGCAATAGAATTAAAACGACAGAAATGAACCTGTGAAAAAGAAGAGGCCAAGAGCCTACACTCGCTCTCAATAATTCCCAAATAAGAACGATCATCAGCTTGCCTCAGTTTAAGGCCTGAATGAGCAGCGAACAATCTGAAAATAAAGCAACTTTCGTGACTCCCCTCTCCTTTAGCCAAGACAATGCTTCCTTGATTGCGAAAGCCTCCCTAACTTGAGCCTCAAAAGGACAACGAACGATTATACTAAAGGCACCCCCAAAGGACCCATCCTCCCGCAACAAGACTGCTGCCACCCCAATCGAATGTGAGCGCACGTGAAGAGCGGCATCCACCAGACACTTGAACCCCCCCCCCCCACTGCCCCCTGATGCGAGGACGACGCAAGGGGCGGACTAACTAGTGACTAATTGACTATAGCTATCAGCTATGATTGCAATGAGGCGGTGTGGGCATGTGTACAGTTCAACTATNTTTTCAGTTTATTACTTAATTGATTTGATTCGATTCGTATGCTTCCCTAGGGCGGTGACTCCAATGGATAAATGAAACATAACCAACGATCTCTGTCGTTGATTACAACAAGAAAGATGTATAATCAATATAAAATTATACTACTTTTCACTCATTTTCTCATTTTTTTCTCTTAAAAGTACATACTCCGTATATTTTCACCCCAAACACCACAAGTATAGTTCGAGAGTGTATAAGGTACATCCAGATGTATCTAGATATAGGTACACCCGAGCAGTAGTCATTCTGAAGTTAAGTAGTACTAATTCTCACACAAAATAAATATTCATTTGAAATGATATTATACTCATTCTTAAATAACGTAATACTCATTTTGAAATAATAAAGTACTTATTTTCACTCATTTGTTCAATATATTTATATTCGGTAACAAATAGCATAATGTTTATCCATCTAAAAAAATACTCCATTCGTTCTAAAATTAATTTCTCATTTGACTTTTCACGGTCTCCAATGCGACACTTTGACTATTAATATCTTCATTTTTATATGAATATATATTACAAAAATAACATATTTCAAAACTGTATTTCAAAATTAATCTATTGATAATTAATTTATATGAAAATTCAATACTCCTTCTGTCCGGAAATAAAGTTTACGTTTCTCTTTTTTCTTCGTCCGAAAATAAAGTTTACATTTCTAATTTTAACCCACACTCTTCCAAAAATACCCTTCTCTACCATTTCAATATCTCTCTCCCTCTCCCCTTCCTCCTCTCCTTCCTTCGTTCCCCTTCTCTTCTTTTTCTTTCTTCCATCCGCCAGATCTATACCTTTTCAATCCTCTCTCTCCGTCCATCCTCTTCTTCTTCTTGCTTTTCATTCTTCTTTTCTTTCTCCCGACCTTCATCTGTTTTTCCCCTCCCCCCTACCCGCATCTTACGATTTCACGAATCAGTTAATCCTCCGGTGGGACTCCACTGCGTCTGAAGCTGCCAGAGAGAAGATGATCTTCGGCAGTGACCGGAAAGAGGTCGACCTGTACTTACGTGCCGTTGATGAAATCCAGCGGTCAATGGAGTCGGCCACGCTCTCTGATGACCGGAGCAAGGCCAACTACTCGATCCAGATTGCCAAATCAAAGCTTTTGCTTCTCGAATTGGTGGTGAGGACAGACGATTGAGGACGAGATGTGGGCGGCGGTTTTGGGTGATGAGGAATGATTTGAAGGGGGAGAGGAAACTTCCAGGTTTCTTCAATAGGGTTCTCCGATTTTGAGCAGTCGGTCAGGAGGAGATTGGAAAGGGGCATTTTTGGTCATTTCACATGGTTAGTCAACCTCCCTTAAAATGACCAAAAGTCAAAACTTAAACTTTAATACCGAACAGAGGGAGTATATTTTTTCTGTAATATACCATCAAAATTTAAAAAGTTTAATTTTATAAATTAATTTTAGGAGAGAGGTACTCAAATCTAATCCAGAGGCCAACGGAGGACGGACTGGAGGAGGGCTTCTTCTTCTTCTTCGATCGACGCTGGACGCGAGGGAATCAAAGAGAGCACCTGGGCGCACGGCTGACGGCGAACGGAGAGCCCTCGCAGTACAGTGACGCTTCGCAAACGGGAAGCTGAATTCGGTTCTCTGCTCCCAATCGATTGGATCTCTCCTAATTTCCGCCGGCTGTAGGGTTTTTCCCGTACAGCCGGTTATAGAATAAAATTTGCGGTATAGTTCTGGATTTCAGTGTTCTGATTTTTCCTTCTAGCCATGGAATCCAATGGAGTAGAAGCATCACAAATCCTCGGAGAACTCGAGTCACTTAAGGCAGACAAGCTACGAATCGAGCGACGGATCTCAGTTCTTGAAGATCAACTTCGTCGGCTCAGCGCAAACGATCAAACCAGCCTAAACTTCGTCGTCCGTGATGCTCCATTATCTAATGGAAGGTCAAGCTCCGGTCATGGTTTGTCTCCTGATGATATTCATAGATACAGTCGTCACTTGTTGCTTTCTTCATTTGGCATCAAAGGTTTGCTCTGAATTTCACTTTAAATTACTGTTATCAAACGATTTGCTTAATGTAGCCCAAATATTTTTTGTTTTCATTCTCATTAGGTCAGGCAAATCTATTGAAGTCTTCAATTTTAGTTATTGGGGCTGGAGGCTTAGGATCACCTGCTCTGCTCTATCTTGCAGCTTCTGGTGTTGGTATGATACCTAGGGTACATATATTTCAGGTTCACTTATTCTTTTACTGGTTAGTGTTTTTGGAGCTTAGCATTTCCTTTTGAAACATTGTAGGTCGAATTGGCATTGTCGATCATGATGTTGTTGAGCTTAATAATCTACAAAGACAGGTACTTATCCTTTTCGAGTAAGAAAGAACAGCACTTTTACTGCTGCATTGGCCAAGGTTTTGAAAGGCAAAAATGAGTCTCGAGGCAGTGGAGAAAAATGCCTTTGAGGCGTAAGCCTCGAGGCAGAACGAGGCGTAAGCCTCAGTTTAGTTTGTAAAAAACAAAGCTAAAATGAATACTCCATGGTAATTATAGAATACATAATCCATAATCATGATGCTAAAATCTAAAGGCTTCAATTCCTGATTTTTGCAAAAAGTAATACCCTATCATAGTTTTTAAAATACAAAAAAAAAAAGAAGAGAGAATTACTCTAAAAAATTTAAACAATAACATAAAACACAAAGTCACAAACACCTCAAATCCGTCTTCAAGCATGATAAAATGGATAAAGTTTCATGAATTTTTTATCTACTTCATAACCAAAATTAGACAAGTTTATTTCCACTACATAATACTATGGAATTTGTAGTTAAGCAACCTTCATACAAATTAAACAAAAACCATAGATGAAGAGGGAGAGTAATGCTGGGAAAAGAGACAGAAATTTAAAGTTGGAACAGAAACTTGAAAAAAGGTAAAGTAATTAGAATATGAAGCAATTTTTGTTGATAAAAAAGAATATAAAGCAATTATGTTATGAAAATGGAGAGACTGAAGGAACAAAAGGTGCGTTGTAGATGGTGTGTGCTGAAGTTGAAGAAGATGGAGAGGCTGAAGTGCTACACGAGAGAAGCTGCACTGTGCTAGGTTGAAGATGGAGAGGCAGAAGTACAAGTAAAAGAAATCCTATTTATCAAGTGTAAGAAGTTTTTAACAAAAATCTAATGCCCCAGATTTTTTAACGGCCCAATTGTTTTGTACGGAGTATCATTTAACCCATAGGTGCTGAAATTTTAATTTGAAGCGACGCTACCGCCTCAGTTTTGCCTCACCGCCTCGTACCACCTCGGCCTGGCAAGGCGTACGCCTCACATACCCTTACCAAGGCTTACGCCTTTGAGGCTTAAAAGGCCCGCCTCACCGCCTTACCGCCTCGAGGCGGTCCGCCTCGAACGCCTTTTAAAACCATGGTATTGGCTAGTGATCTCAATTCATTCAAAAGGTCTTCTCTTTGGTGTTTGTGGTGTGTGCTTATGAAATCTAATTATTACTTGGAATATGTTACTTTTATAGTTTTATTCATTTTCAATGTTAACATATCTGCTACACTTTGCTCATGTTGTGCTATAGATAATACATACTGAAGTAAATGTTGGATGCTCAAAGGTGGAGTCTGCTGCTGCTGCTTGCCGCGCGTAAAATCCTCTATTTGGCAGTTTTTCATCGATTATTGATTTTTTAAAGACTAGAAATGACATCATTAATTACTGTCTTAAAACTCATGTTTGGTTTTGTAGGATTAACTCTTCCATTCAGATTGTTGAACACAAAGAAGCATTCCGTACATCCAATGCTTTGAAGATCGCAAGCCAGTATCCTTTCCAATACACTTTGTGCTTGGATGTTGTGTGTTGAATATATTGGTGTCAAATCTTCTTGTTTTTCATTTGTCTGTTCACTTTCCATGACTCAAATCTATCAATAGATATGACATTGTCATAGATGGAACAGATAATGCTCCTAGTCGCTACATGATCAATGATTGCTGTGTCGTGTTGGGAAAGGTTATATTTCTTTCTGTGATATTGATTTACTGTCAAATACTGTATGTAATACTCCCTTTGTCCCATAAAATCCTTGACACTTTTAATTCACAGAGTTTAAGAAAGTTGTTGAAAAGTAAAAAGTGTGTGGTTAGAATTTGTTTAGAGGAGAGAGAATTGTTGGTAGCCACATTCATTACCCAAATAGGGTATAAAGTAAGTGTAAGGTATTTTTGGGGCATTCAGAAAAGCAAAGTGTAAGGAATTAAATGGGACGGAGGGAGTACATGATATGTGAATTTGTTAGTCCTTGGTTTGAGTTTATGCACAAGGGTTTGATTCTATAAACAATTGATGCAAAAAGTTTTGACATACTCTGTTTTTTTATAAAGTTGGATTAATGGTAATTGGTGTCATTTTGTACCGATCACTTTCTGTTGCTATGCTTGTAGCCTCTTATATCCGGAGCTGCAATTGGTCTAGAAGGCCAGGTATCATTTATAGTAGATTGTCATCGTTTTACCCTTTTATTATAAACTTTCTGACACTGAGATGAGTTCCTTTGCACCTATCACATATTCTTTTTTTTGTGTACTTATCATTATAGTTGACAGTATACAATTACAATGGAGGTCCATGTTATAGGTGTCTGTTTCCAACCCCACCCCCCACAACTGCATGCCAGAGGTGCTCAGACAATGGTGTATTAGGTGTAGGTATGTTAATGTGGGATTCCTCTAAGTCACTGGATTAGTTATTTATTTAATGAGAATTGGATACGTCATAAATGTCTTCCCTTGTCTTATATTTGGAATTTTGTGAAAAGCGAGATCTTAGTATCCAAATCTTGTGGTTTTGTTAAAGTTTAAAATGAAGAAAATGACCTGTCTTTAAGAACGATTCAGCCTGATTTTGTTTATACAATAACTTTTTTCCCAGTGATTTTTGCTGGTAATAATTTTTTTAAAAAAATAAGTGTAACCAATTGATGGATTTATCATGATTTTTCTCAGTCGGGCAAAACTGTGTTTATTTTTAAAAGGTTGAAAATTCACTCCAGTTATTAAACTAGTCAGTTTGCTTTCCCATCTAATCCACAGTTCCTGGAGTTATTGGATGCCTTCAAGCCCTAGAGGCTATAAAAGTTGCAAGTGAGATTGGTGAACCACTCTCTGAGCGGATGCTTCTGTTCGATGCCCTGTCAGGACGAATACGTATGGTATGTCCTAAAGTCACTGCTCTTCACATTATAGAGTGTTATCTCATAGAAGATATAAGTTTGTTTTGTCTGGTTCTTGTCTGCATTTCCTAATTCCAAAATGCTATTGTTTACTCAGGTGAAGATTCGAGGAAGATCATTGCAATGTAAAGCTTGTGGTGACAGTGAACCACTGACAAAACAGGAATTTGAAGATTTTGACTATGAAAAATTTACTCAATCGCCAATTATTACGGTGTGCATTGTTTTCATTTTTCACTTCCTTTTGTAAGTTTTTTCATTCTCAAGTAAACCTCATTTTAGTGTGAAGAGAAAAGGAAATGTGTGAAATAACCAAGGTTGTTAAACTCGAAATCCTAGGGAGGGTCGGTGGGGGGTAGGGGGTGTTAGAGGATCGTAAATCGTGGATCAAGATCCTAAAATAGTAATGTCAAAGTAATTACTAGTGGAAGAAATATTAAATTCAATGAATTCTAAAATTCAAGCATAAAGGGGATTTCAGTATGTGTAAGGGTCCTTAACCCTGAAAATACTACTGAAAGATAATATGGAAAAAAATAGGGAGTAAAATTAAGAGAGAAAACTTCGGGAGGTTTAAACTCAATAAATTTATTTTAGATATTCGTTTAAACTCATTTCATTTTTTTATTCTTACCATTTGTTTTCCTCTCCCTAGAATTTCAGGCTCCAAACACACCCTAATAGTTTAGCCATTTGTCTGTGGACAAAAGGCCTGCGTAGCCTCATTCTGGTTTTCGCTTTTGTTGATTGTTCATTAAAAGAATTAGTCCTCTTCATTTCATGGCTTAATTTTTGTGTACTGTTGATAATGGTTTCACAGGGTCCATTGAAGCTGAATCTTCTTCCACCAGAAGCTAGAATCAGCTGCAACGAGTACAGGGAGAAAATTTCAAAAGGCGAAGCCCATGTATTACTAGATGTACGCCCGGCACACCATTACAAGATTGCTTCACTTCCCAACTCCATAAACATCCCACTCCCCGATTTGGAGCATCGGCTTGCTGAGCTTTCTGAAATGCTACGTAGTGATGATAATAAGGAAGAGGGCGGTCAGGAATCATGTGTCTCTCTTTATGTCCTTTGCAGAAGAGGCAATGATTCGCAAAGGGCTGTCGAATGCCTCCACAAGGCAGGCTTCTCTTCGGCTAAGGATATAATAGGCGGCCTTGCGGCGTGGACCCAAGAGGTGGATCCTCAGTTCCCATCATACTGGTAATAAAATCACATCATATTGTTATGGATAAATAATTATAGTCTAATTAATTTCTAGTATTACTGAGGAGTACGATTAGATTATGACAGACCAACTTTTTCGTATGGGTCAAAAGACTGAGTAGTAAAGAAGAAATATGTTCATAAGAACATATTGAATCCTTATATTGATAGAGCTCACTTGGCATTGGGAACCCATGTCATAATATGACATTGGGTTTAATTTGGACACTTTCGATGCCCAGTTTGTAAAATTGAGTGTTCCTATCCCTAATCCTCCGGTGAACCCCCACTTCGGCCCGAACCGACTCCCACTCCTTTCAATTAATTCACCCCAAATTTAGCTGACTTTGAAGTAAAAAATAATTATCCCTGAAATCAACTAAGGCTCTGTTTGGAAAGGGGAAAATGACTTCGGAAAAAAGTGAAGTCAACTCGAGAATCACCCTTGGCCAACTAAAAATTGGAGACAAATCCGGATTTTGTCTTCAGGAAAATTCGATCCGGTGTTGCTAGAGGTGCAAAGGATGCCATTTTTGCCGGCGACAACGATGGATACATAGTCTATCAAATGTTTGGTTAAAGATTTGATTTTCTTCAAATGTTTGGTTCTTATTTTCTTCAGTGATTCTATCGTGGGCATCTCTAATTTTTGGCAATGAATTGATTAATTTTGTTTGTTTTGGTTTGATTTTTGCTTCCAAATAAATATTCATATTCTGGAAAATGAACCGAACAAGAATATGGAATGTTCATACTTTCACCCAAATACCCAAAAAATATTGGATATTTTCCTCAAAATGGAAAATGAAGTCAAATTTAACAACTTGATAAGTCTTGTTCAATATTGGCGGCTACATCAAAATGTTGAGTATGAAATAAATGGGTTATGTCAATAAACTAGAGTGCTAACTACGTCATGGATCATTTTAAAAATAAAAAAATTCGTAACGATGATTTAATAGTTTTTTCTATTTACCGAACCAAAAACAAAATTTGCATATTTTATAGGGATTAAAAACATATTTAACCCTTAAAAGTCCTTATCAATTAAAAAGTAAATATATAACAATAAAATATAAAGTATTATTATTTTAATTATAGTTGGCTAATTCATTGACCCACTAGTTTGACCTGTAATACCTTAACCTGCCTAACTCGAACCAACGAGCTAGCGAACCGGTTGCTACTAAATTGGTATTCATAAGCACAATAATTCAAAACATTTAAAGTAACATAATCATCTATTCATAATATTTTGGAAAATATTCTTAAGTCAATCGAAGTAAAATAATAAAATATATTCAAAGGAAGCCTGAAATCCAACATAAACATCCTTGAAATTTAAATAAGTCATCTCTGCAAAAAATTTTATTCTGAAAATAGTCTATCAACTTAGTTAGTACTTGTAATTAGTTGATATAACACATTTATTTTATACTCAACATTCTAGTCTTCCATTTATAATTAGCTTTGACACAATTCTCAAGCCATAAATTGTGTTCTTATTCATATTACTTCTCCATATACCAAATTTTTTGAGAATCTAAATCTATAAATTAAAACTTAAGAATGGAGGATGTAATTTTAGACAAGGCACAATTTAAGGTATGAAAATTATGTCTAGGGCAATTAGAAATGTAAGAATTAGATGTTAAGTATGAAATAAATACGTTGATTTAACAAGTTAGAAGTTTTAATTACGTTTAAGGACTTTTTTAGAAATTACAAATTTTGTAAGGATGATGTAAACAATTTTTTTACATGGACTAAAAACAAAACTCGCATATTTTACAGGGACTAAAAAATATATTTTGCCCATAAATAAATAATGCAACTTAATTAAATAAAGTTAGTCCGTTAATGCAACTTAATTAAATAACCCACCATTAAAATTTAAACATTTTTATCATATTTACACTGTGTTTGGTTCAAGGAACTTGGAAGAAAAAGAAAAGAAGATGATTTTATCTCATTTTCCTTGCTAAAATGGGAGGAATGAGATTTTCAATTTTCTTGATTTATTTTCTCTTCTCAATTTTGTTTTTCCTTTCAATTTTCCTTTTTAATAAAACAAGAAAAATTATTTTCCACTTCATTTTTTTTCCTTTTCTCTTTTAAATTTCTTGAACCATGGCCCGTCCCTATCCCAATTCCATATATTTTAATTATTGAAACCTACTAGCTATTAAAAGAAAAAGACCTGTGGTGGTTATTTGTCTAGAAATCATCTTAAATAGGACTAAAAATATAGAGAAAAGTATCAAAATAGGACTTTCATGTTTTTTCTCGGAATAGGACTTTGCCCTGTGGTAATGTGACAATGTACATGTGCAGATTACTATATTTTTTTGGTAATGTATATGACCATGTTTGGTAATGTAAGTCCTATTTCGAGAATAAAAACATGGAAGTCATATTTTGGTATGTTTTCAATGTTTTAGTCCTACTTTGATCTTTCCCCTTTATTTGCCTCATCTGCGGCGGATTAGGGAAGAACTCAGAGTCCCTCCACTTTTCTTTATCCCAAATAGACAAACGCTGACGAAATTCGTCGTTCATTGGAAGACACGATCTTGCGGGTAAGTAAGATCTAGAAAAAGAAATTTCCAGATTATTATTATTATTATTATTATTATTATTATTATTTTGAAGAAAATAGGTTTTTTTAATTAGACCCGCGACCCGTCCGGGTCGACCCGATTCTCCGGGTCTGGACGGTTTTTAGCAAATCCGAATGTTAACACTGACCCGGTCCAGAGGGTTGTTTGTTTGTTAGATATTTCTAGCTGGTCGAAGATTAGTTTGATATAGGGCAACCGGGTCCAGGAACGGAAAGTCGGAATCGGACAGTTAGGTTCTGCCAGGTTAGGGTCGGGTTTTCTTTTTAAAAATTTAAAACGATCCGAGTCGGTCCGGTCTTTATAGATTTTAAAATCGGTCCGGTTCTCAATTTTAAAAATATTTTGGACTCGGACCGGACCGCTTATTTTAAACCCCAATATTATTTTTATTTTTTAGTAAATACTCCGTACTAAATACACTGGCAGCCTTAAGCCTTACTAGTTACGAAGGAGTTAGGGAGAAAGACCAAACTAAGACTAAACTATTGAAAATATACCAAAATAGGACTTCCATGTTTTTATTCTCGAAATAGGACTTACATTACCAAACATGGTCATATACACTACCAAAAAAGTATAGTAATTTGCACATGTACACTGCCACATTACCACAATGCAAAGTCATATTACCACAATGCGAAGTCCTATTCTGAGAAAAAAAACATGAAAGTTCTATTTTGGTACTTTTTCTCTATGTTTTAGTCCTATTTAGGATATTTCTAAAGGAGACCCTAAGACCTTCAATTCGCCGAATCGGGAATCGCAGAGAATCCAGAGATCGGCAATTTTTAATATTAGTAGTTTTGTATGTGGGTGTGTTCCTAAACCAGTTTTTGTCTGGGCTGGGAAGTGCAAACTGCAAGGCAATTGAGATTTGGTCTTGTAAATAAATGGGTAGATTAGTCAAGGGAGGCAAAAATGTAAATAACACCGTTTTTTATTACTTTTAAAAATAAAAAAAGAACTTAACAAACACCAAACAAACACTGAAGGATCCGTTTGGTACACGGAATTGATAGAATTGGAATAAAAATTACATAGAGACTCAATTCCATAGAATTGAATTTACTAATTCCAATTCATTTTTACACTACCAATTCCAAATCCACATAATTTTTGTGCTACCAAACACCAGAATTGGAATTGAAGTTTTCAATTCCAATTCCATAATTTGAATTCCGTGTACCAAACGAGGCCTGAAAAAACATTCAAACACAAACACCGGACAAGCACGGGAATTTATTACACAAACACGGAACAAGCACGGGAATTTATTAAAACGATGGGTTGACACACAAACCCGCACTTGGGTCACACATTAGATTCCCTACGCCTTTGACGAGGAGCTCCCATCCCCTCCCCCGGCTAGCAGCTTGTCCCGTTCGTTCTCCAAGGAGGCTAGATATTTCTCCTCTTGCTGGAGTTTCTGCTCTTCCTTGGCCAACCGTTGTGGATTCGAGTCCCGTGGGGGGNATTTTTGCAACAACTTTTTGAAGGCCGGATACAGTAAATCTAGCTTCAATAATCTCATCTTCCAATTTTTCCAATCTTTATTTTTTCCCCCTCATCGTTAGCCATTTAAATAACACTACAACATAATGATTTTCTCTAAATAGCACCACATGTATTTTTTTTCCAATGTAGCACTTTTAGTCAATATTTGCCATCACTAGACATAATGGACATCATTAAGTGCTACTTAGAGAATAAAATAATTTAAGTGCTATTTAGGAAAAATGACTAAAGTTTTAATGCTATTTAGTGCAAATATTTCATGTTTTCCCTCTCTCTCTCTTAGCTCTCTTTTACAATTGTGATTCATTTGATGAAGAAGAATGGCCTCTTATACAATCAGATTTTTCCATTTTAAGATAGTAGAAAATTCAAAGATTAAAGGTGATGGGCTTATTTTGGCAATTGTAAATACCTTTAATGTTTTCTTCTTCCCCATATGAGGCATCAGTGACTCTTCATTTTCTATCTTCCATTGCTATTGAGAGAGAGAGAGAGAGATACAGTGACAGAGGAGGAGTACGATTGTCATGGAGAAGTGGGGCCGGACGAGTACTATTTCCAGCTGTGGCTGATATGTCTATTCATCTTTTATCATCGGTCCAAAGGTGGAATCGCCCACCCCAGGCGCCCCCACCCCCTTGCCCGACAGGAATGGTGGAAGATGTAAATCATGGTGACTCAGTCGGCCAAGAACGCTAGACCCGTGCCCACTGCGCACAAGGAGCCTCCTCACCCTTTATGGGATTTTTGGATAGCTCCCACACTGCCGCTTGCGGGACTCGATCCCTGGTCATCGGTCCAAGATTTCACGCTCTTGACCAACTGAGCTATCCATGCGGGCCTATTCATCTTTTATCATCAATTGTACTCAACCCTTCCTCTCTTCTTTTTTTGCTTTCCAGAAAACACTTCCACTTTCTATTAAAAAACCACTTTTACCCCTACTTTTTCATACCCTACCTATCACATCATACTTTTTCTCTAATAACCAAACTATCACATCTTACTTTTTCCCATCACATCAGGGACAAAATTGGAAAGTCAACCAGAATTACACTTTCCTTATTTTTTCCCAAAGTCAAAACCGGAAGGGTTTTGTGGAACGGAGGGAGTGTATGTTTGCTCCTAAAAATCTTTCTTGTTTTAATTTTTTTACCAATACCTTTTTATCATTAATTGTTAGAAAAGTATATTTAATTATAATATAAATTCAATATCGGTGGGGTTCTAGTGACATAAGAATATGATGACACTCCGGTGCCACTGTCATTTTGGGGCATGAATAGCTACACACTTTGTGAGGGGGCCTACGGCGGGGTTGGGGTGGGGGTGCAGAGGCGGGGGTAGGGTGGGAGTTCAGGGAGTGAGTTAGGGGGGCTATGAATTATCAATATACGTAGTAATTGACAGTGACACTGCTAATGTCAGTGACACTGCTAATGTCACCAAAGGTGGGTGTCACTAGAATCCCACCGATTCAATATAATTGAATTTATTTTAGGATATAGTTTTGATATATCATATTTTAATATCTTTTTTTTATTTAAATTATCTTTAATTTGTAACCAAAGAAAGATTTTTAGGACTAAAGGGAATAAATAACACAAAACATTTATTCTTATTCTTAAAAAAACCTACAAAAGTTAAATGCCACCAGGACACATGCCCCACATCACTTACACTATGTTTGGTTCAAGGAATTTTGAAGGAAAAAAAAAGAAAATGGTTTTCTCTCATTTTCCTCACCAAAATGGAAGAAATTTGGTTTTTCCTCCACTTGGTACATTTTGCCTTCTCATTCTCTTTTCCTTCCACTTTTCCTTTCTAACCAAATAAGAAAGCTTGTTTTCCACTTCATTTTCTTTTCTTTTCTCTTTTGAATTCCTTGAACCTCCTCCATCCATTCGCATGTCTTTTTGAAAAATGACTATTTTTTCAAATAAAATTTGGAAAATGTTAGGGGTCACCACAAAAAATGTACCCCAAACATCCCCACCCCCTCCATCACCACAAAAAAAGCAAGAAAAATTCAAAAATAAAAATAAAATAAAAATTAAAAATAAAATAAAATGAATGGTAAAGAGAGGGGTGGTCGACATTTTGGGTACACCTTTTGGTGTACCCCTAGCATATCCCATAAAATTTATGCCTATTAGGTTGCTTTCTCTTGGCCATAGTTTTTAGGGAGATGCTAGGGGTACACCAAAGGTGCACCCCAAATGCACACAACCTCATTTTTTACCATTCGTTTTATTTCGTTTTTTTTTTTTGAATTTTACTTGCCTTTTTATGTAGTGATGGAGGGGGTGGGAGACATTTGAGGTACACCTTTGGTATATCCCTAGCATTTTCCTAGTTATTATTATTATTATATATTTTAAATATATGCATACTCAAACTCAAGTGAATATTTGCAGATGTTAACTAATTTAGGGATGTGGATAATACTCATGGTTGGATTTGAATTTTTTTCTTTTGTACTTAAAATTAATGTTTTTTTTCGTAATAGATTTAGTTTGTTTGATAGTTCTAGCTAGTTTTATGGTGGAAGATTACTTTCATATGTGTATTCATCTTTTATCATCAATTGTAGCTAGAGCAAAAATGTACTATATCCGTTCTTAAAAATCTTTATTGTTTTAATTTTTTTGTCAAATGCTGACACCTTTTAACCTTAAATTGTGATAAAAGTATATTTAATTTTAATATAAATTCAATATAATTGAAATCATCTTAGGATACGGTTTTGATATATCAAATTTTAATATCATTTATTTATTTAGATTATCTTTAACTTGTTATCAAAAAGTGTCAATATTTGACAAAAAAAATAAAACAAGAAAAGTTTTAAAGACTAGAAGGAATATATAACACAAAAACATTTATTATTACTCTTGAAAAAAAACCGAAAAAAGCTAAATGCCAACCGGACACATACACTACATCACTTAATGTTACCACCTACTACATCCATTTGCTTGTATTTTTGAAAAATGTCTATTTTGTAAATAAAATAAATTTGAGATTATTTTAGGTAATTTTTTAATTCCTAACTTTAATATAAATATATTTTTAATTTTTTTTTTTGAAAAATAATACCAAATTTGAGTGTTTTTAGAATGAAATTAATTGTTTTTTCAATAATCGATAATCTAGTAGTGGTAATAATTAAAAATAATACGGAGTAATAAATTATTCTACACAATAGAGCTAATTTATTTTCTTCGTAACTTATTATATTTTTTTCTCTAAGTTACAATTACTTTTTTTGAACGGCACTTCGAATTGTTTTTTTAGTACTATACTACTATTATTATTGTTTATGCGAGACTAATTTATTACTTTCTTTTATAGAATAATTTATTGTACAATTTTACAACTTTTGTAATACCCTGTATTATTTTGGATAAAACAATTATTATCAGATTATCAATTATTGAAAAAATAATTAGTGTCACTCTATGAAAAAAACCTAAATTTGGTATTGTTTATTAAAAAAAATTTAAGTTTAAAATTAATTAAAATGAAAAAAAAGAATTTACCTAATATAATTCCTCCTTTCATTTATTTATAAAAATAGGTAGTTTCTAAAAGTTTGTTGCGACCATTAATTTCCTAACGGCAAACCAAAATCCACACATATGAGAGAGATGAGATTATTTTCCGTAATAGTGATAAATAAGATTAATTTTGGAAGAACGCAAAAAGATGAGATTATTTAAGATAATTTTTCCAATTATGTTAATTTTTATCAATTTGAAAATTAGCCAAAAAGCATTAAGATAATTTTTCCAATTATGTTAACTTTTTTATAAATGAGAAAAAAAAGAATATTCACTCCTAATTTCATCATTTCTGTCAATTGAAAAATTGACCCAATAATGCAATGGTAATTTTAGGAGCTCAAGACCAACTTTAGAGAATAGTTCTTAGTTGTACGGGTTTTCTTATGCCTTAAATTTCGCCATATGGTTTTCACCTAGCAAAAAAATTTAGCCATAACTTTTTTAACAATTTGAAAAGTTGGCCAAGATTTGTGATTAAACTCCTTAGAGCTAGAGGCCAAATTTTAGAAAAGAAAATTGACACACCATATCACTCAATGTTACCACCTACTCCACCCATTTGCTTGTCTAAAAATGTCTATTTTGTAAATAAAAAAAGTGTGAGATTATTTTAGGTAAATTCTTTCCTTTTCATTTTTAATTCCTAACTTTAAATTTAAATATATTTTTTAATTTGTTTTGAAAAAATAATACCAAATTTAAGTGTTTTTAGAATGAAATTAACTGTTTTTTTCGTTGTTTGTCATTTCTTCTTTTTCCTCTCTCTCTTAGCTCTATGGGCTCTCTTTTACATCTTGTGAATCATTTGGTGGTGAAAAAATGGCCTCTTTTATAACCAAAAATTTCCATTTTAAGATGTATGTAATTTTAAAGATAAAATTGCATGTGCAAGAAATGACTTATTTTGCCAATTGTAAGTAGCTTTAACTTTTTTCATGGTTTGGGTAATGGGTGAATCTGACTCCCTTCCCCATATGAGAGAGTGATGGCCCTAAAATAGCATTTGTGATGTATGACTACACATATACTTCAAGTTTATCTAAAGTTTTTCCACCACACAATAAAGTGTTGATATAGAAAAATAAATTTGAGTGCTACGCATGACATTATTTTTTTTAGTACAATATATGTGGAGTAGCATTCATTATCTACTTTGGCTTTTTTTTAATTTTTTCTTCTCCTCAAAAGATTTGTCCTAATTTTGCTTTAATATTAACTTTGATTACATATTTAATATAATTTGTAATAAAAAATTTAAAAATTTGATGTACAATAATTTTTTTTTATACCAAAGACAACTTTTGTGGGATAGAAAGAGTGTACAAATTATATTATACTTATTCAATTTTTAAATAAATTTATTCCTAATATTTTTAATTTTTTAATTTCTTCTATCTATTTTGTATTTTTCGAACTCAATCCAATTCATTCAAACTAATTTTAGTTTCTTTCCCGTAATGACTTAAACTTTTTTGAATTATTGTTGAAAGAAACAAAATTTAATTTTAATAAGTTGGATTGAGTTAGAAAAAATAAATTAATTGCTTGAAACTGAAAAAATTGGAAACAAGACCTCAAAAGTTGAAATGAGTAAAACTCATTTTTCTACCAATTATTTTAAAGTTTTTCCAACCCAATCGAATTTATTTAAATTCATTTTCCTTTATATATCATTTTTTTATAATTCTTATTTAGTTAAAATTATATTTCATTTGTAATCAAAGTAAACATTAGAGTCAAATAAAGAACAAAAAATGGTCATAGTAGATAAATTAAAGCTACACTCTATATATTGTACGCACTATTCAAAAAAGAAGAGAGGGTGTTTGGAATTGCATTTGAAAATAACTTATAGCTTCTACTTTACTAAAACACAATTTTAAATGTTTGTTAATATGCTTTAGCTTATAAATTATGGTTTTAGAAGTTAAAATTAAGGTCTAGAAGTGCTTTCTAGCAAAGCTAAAAATACATGTTTTCTGATTTTAAATTATAACTTTAACTTTTACATAACTCACAGCATTCCCAAACACCCTCGAAGAAAGCTAATAAAAAAAGGATTAAGTTATTTGTAAACTAAAATTTGTACCCAATTTTGTACTCTAAAGATATACACCGACATTTTGTGTTATTGTGATGCTAGTGGTGATTTACATTGAAAAAAAAATCAGTACAAAAATTTTTTGTGCTAGTCTCTCTCTCTCTCTCTCTCTCTCAGCTCTCTCTTTACAACTTATGCATTATTTGCTGCTGAAAAATTATCTCTTATACAGATAAAAGTTTCCATTTCAAGATGTATCTAATTTCAAGGCTGCAATAGCAGGTGCAAAATGAATCATTAATTGTATTTCGGAGTTTGCCCCTGAAATTTTACCATAATTTTCAAAAATTTATGAGTCTTTTATGCCAAAAATTGTGCATAAATTTATGCCAAAAATTGTGCATAAATTTATACCATAACTTCTTCTTCTTCTATGAGTCTTTTATGCCAAAAATTTCACCATATAGTTTTACACGTAGCATGATTTAGTCAATTTGAAAATTTAGCCAAAAGGTGTGATTGAACCCCTAGGAGCTCGAGTTAATATTTTTTTAAAAAAAATGTTATGAGGATTGATGAATTTTTAATTTAGAGTGATGTATGAATCACTCACGAAAAATTTATCCAATATGAATATCCATAGGAATGATAGGGATGATAAATATTAACTCAAGTACTTGCAGGGAAATTCATGTCCTCTATTGTGATACTCACTCCATTCTAGAATATTTGTCCAATTTTAACTCTTTATAGTCTACAAAAATCGCCCTTTAACCTTTAACTAAATATGCTAAAAATTACATGATATATTAATTAGATAAAATAATGTTTTAAGAATACTTTGCAATACAAACATAATAAAATTATTCTTGTATCAATATCTAATTCTTGTGCATTCAAATATGAAAGGTTCATCGAGCATATAATAAGTTACCATTAGTCGTTGGGTAATTGTAGTATTTCAAATGTTAAAAAGGGTAAATAAAAAAAATAGAAAACAGAAAAAAGACTAATTGAAAGATTTATAAGGGACGAAAGGAGTAACTTTTAGTTGTACTTGTTAGTACGTAGTAGTTTGTTTACCAGTTTTTACCAAGTATCTCATTTTCATTATTCACAAGCATAAAATTTGTTCCTGTTTATGTGACTTTGCATTTCTAAAAAAAACCTTAACCTCAAACCTAAACTCTAATTAAAGGACAAAGAGTGACGCCATCGTGACTCTTCTGAAATTGTAACTAGCATGATTCTGGCATGTCAACACCATTACATAGAAGTAAAGATAAGATTGTTCTACTAATTTGATGATTTGGTTAAATAAACAATAAATTTAAATATAGTCATGCTAGAAACCCACCAAATTTGACACCAAGAGTTTAATGCCAAATGTTTCACAGATATTGACATACAATCATTGTCCGTGCGTCTATGAAACACTTGGTGTCAAACCTAGTGGGTTTTTAGCACTTTTGTAATGAATAAAGCTTGATCTAAATAGTTAACTCCATCTAGAATGAATCATTAGCGCGTTCAAGGCCAAGGTGCTGACTTACCTCCTCCAATGAGCATAGTTCTTGCAAGTAAGATGCAAGCCTAGCAACATTGTCCTGATGCACATTAGATTTGACTTTCTCCTTGTACCCAGACGCGCTCATTGTCCTCGATAAGTTATCATGCATCCTAGAGAAAAATGAAGTGAAAATAATGATGAGTCAATTGCTCCATTAAGTTACTAGAGGAAATGATGCTAAAGTGACTCTCACTTCTTGATATCCTCTATCTTTTTCTTTAGCTTTTCACGTTCGGCGTCCACATCAATGGTCCCCTGTGTCTTGAGGAAAACAGAAAGTGTTTCGTTGACAACCCCTATCACACATCCAGCCGGAACACCATCGTTCTCATTTAGGACCTGGGATGACATAAACCACACAATCCCAATGAAGCATATGAACAAGAGGACGGTAAAGGAAATTTGGACAAAATTTGCACACATTATACCAAGAGAAATTACAGACTCAATTGAAAAACACATTTCTATGTGCATATGAAGCAGATTGGCATAAAGCTTGGTACAATCACCCACGACCTCTGAAACCATGTATTGTATCTCATGAACAACGAGCAAAAAAAAGGGCTTAAAATATATGCACCCAGCCAGAGAATTCAATCAGATGAAGAAATAAGACTACAAGAATTGGAAAAAACTCCTAGAGGCTGACCAGTACATTTCAGTGATCAACATACCAAAGATAACTTGAATTAGCACAAGAAAGTCTAAAATTGAATCTTGTTTCTATAGTAATAAAATCTCACTCAGTGCCTTCTCACTTTCCTTGTTCGCATGTTAGTGCTAGCACTGCTAGCTAGCCAACCCCACAAGTATGCTAACCAGTTGTGTTGCATCATGTCAGTTGTAGTTCAGTATATTAAAACACAGGACACTGATGGTATTTAGGAAACATGTACACAATGAACTGCTCCCTCTGTCCGAAAAATTTCTTTCTATTTCCCATTTTGGTTAAATATTTAGTGCTAAATGACTTATCTACACCGGAAACCTAAGCAAATTCCCAACCCTTCTCTCATTTCACTTCCGCTTGCAGACTCCACCTACCGTGCTCTCAAAATCTTGTCGATGGCATCTGCTGTGAAGGGAACTATTAATCCAGGTGAATAGTGGATGCTGATGGGGGAGTTTCACCTCGGCCTACTCTTGTGCCTTGTCGGGTCGGCAGATCCAAAAGATTGGCCTTGGCTTTGGGGACTATGAGGGTTTGCTGAATTGCTGCCAAGATCCAGCAACAGAGAAATGAAGCAGTGGCGGAGGATGAAGAAGATGATGAATGGTGTAGAAGGAGAGTTTTGGAAAGTCAATACAATTTCAAGATCTCCAAAGTAAGTGTGACAAGTCAATTTCAGAGATTAATTCCCAGACGGAGGAAGTTGATTCTAAAATTATTATTCATACAATACAACTCATTGGACCATACCATACACAACATATGCAGTGTCTATAGATATACACGCTCAACTATCATGTTCAATCCCTACCAAAAATTGACAAGAAGAATGAACTGAAATACAGAATTATAAAGCAACATACAGTACCAAATTCATATTTGCATTCAAATGGTTCTCTACCAAAAAAGTGACAAATCAAATGGATGAGCACAAAGAATCTTAAAACCAATGTGCATTAAGACATTAATGGACAAACCTCTAAAGATGACAGGTTGCTGAGTGTTCTAATCTCGAGCTCTTGCTTTCTGATGATCTCTACATCATCATTCACTTGACCACGCACAAAAGCTTCTTGCCTGAAGATGGAGGCTTATTTTTATTCCAGGGTGTAGTATAACAAAGGGCTTCAACAAATTGCAATGTAAGATCAATTTGCAACACATACAGAGAAGAAACGACTAGGATTCAGTTAGAGGCAATGCTCCAAAAACAGGCCTTGTCACTTGAACACAGGTCAAATTTCAATTATTAGAAATGCTCTGAAAACAGACAAATTATTTAATCTCAAAAAAGGGCGAGCTCATCATTTTGGACTGTTCAATTTGTACTGCAGTTCCAAAAGTCAATTTGTGTACATAGGATAGAGACGAAGAGTTAGGCAAACATCAAACAGGATAGTCTCCAAAGTAGCTATAGCAATTTCACTGAGGAAAGAGATTAACTTTGGTGAAGCATTGTATGGAAAATATCTGTTCAAAGATTGTAACATAAATTTCTTTGCATCCTCTGTTAGATGTTAGCACAAACCAACTACAGCATACCTTGTAATAAGCCATTATTCCTTAACACTATGTTTGGCTCAAGGATTTTGGAAGGAAAAGAAAAGAAAATGGTTTTCTCTCATTTTCCTCACCAAAACGGAGGGAATTCGATTTTCCCTCCACTTGGTACATTTTGCCTCATCATTTTCTTTTCCTTCCACTTTTCCTTTCTTTTCTCCTCTAACCAAACAAGAAAAATGGTTTTCCACTTCATTTTCTTTTCTTTTCCCTTTCAAATTCCTTGAACCAAACATAGTGTAAAGAAAAATACATGAAGAAAAAGTCATGGGGGTAGTTCATTGTTATGTCATCACGAAATGGCAACAAAAATTAGTGTAACAGACATGTTCGGGGAAATCACCTCTCAAGTCTTTCCTTCTTAGGTATCAAAGATCTCATTGAACGCAACTCTTTCGCGACAGATTCAACCAAGTTCATCTCATATTCTACAATTTCATTGCTCCAATCCTGGGTTTTTCAATAAAACAGTTTGAAATTATTTCAAGATCAGCAGCTTAAAACAATATAGGCAAGACGTCCCATATCATTAAAGATAATAAACTGTAGTTCCTACAAGAAAAAAGAGTCTTTTCTGGGACCTGTTAATCACAGTGTGTTTAATAAATGACAGGAAGAATGTCATGTCTGCAGTAAAGTTGGATTCAAAATCTTAATTACAGTGTACAGAATTCAAAAAAAGGTGTACAGGAAATTGGAAAATTTCATGCATTTGTTGACCAAAGGACGACGTTGGAATACTAGATAAAATGGAAGAGTAAAGAGTTCTTAGGCATACTAAAAAGAAAGCGAAGAGGAACCCGTACATGGACAAAGAAAGCCGAGAGAGACCGAGAACCATGCAGATGGATACTACGTAGTATTACATACCATGTCGTGTATCTTGTACAGATGAAAGAAACAATTTTTTTTTTTTTGGAAAAGCTGCAATTTAGTTTGATAAGCTTGATTTGCTTATTAATCAATAGAGAAATGTTTTCTCCACATAAACAGAAGAGCCATGTAATTATTTCTCCTCCTTAAACTAAAAGCTTGGGGAATATGATTCGACACTAACATGCCCGCACATTGTTTTTGATAAATGTAAACAGATTAGAGGAATCTCACCTCTTTTGGGGATGGATAATCTGATATCATTATGGATTCTTTCTTGTAATCATTACTTGAAGGGAGGCGCTGCCATAATTCCTCTGTTACAAATGGCATGAACGGGTGAAGCAGACGCAGACCATTGTCCAAACAAACCCACAGAGTATATTGGGCATATTTTCTTGCAGAGTCATATTCTGGATCACTATTAGCAAAGTATGGTTTAATAACTTCAATGAACACATCACACAATTGATATTGCCACCATTGATGAACAGCAGTTGTTGCATCAGAGAATTCATATGCATCTAAAGATAACACAGTTCTTGAAATAGCTTTATTCAAAACCGATAGTATCCACTGACAGCTAAATGGCATTATATTTGGGACTATATCTGGTGGAGGAGTGTAATCATCTCTGAGCTTGCTTATGGCAAACCTTGTAGCATTCCACAACTTATTACACCATTGACGATATCCAACCACCCTTAGAATATCAAGATCTATTTTATCAGACTGTAAAGAAAAAAGGAAATTTCAGAGATAAATATTGCCAAACGAAGGAAGACAAGGTAAAAGATGTCGAGAGCCATTGAACCTGAGCTGTATATGAAACCAGAGCAAAACGAAGACAACAGTACCACATTCAGGAATACCATTAGGAAATTCCTTCTTCTGTTCCTCTTTAGCAACCTTTAATTTATTCAAGTCCAAGTCTCTTTTCTTCATTTTTTCCTCCAGTTTCTTCTGAAGTCCTTCAATCGTAATCCCATTGATGACATCAAGAGGATCAATCACATTCCCCAAGGACTTGGACATTTTGCGTCCATGGGCATCACGAATCAACGGGTGCAGATAGACCTGCCAACTTTCCATTATTCTAACTAGCATGAAATCTAACTAGTGATGCTGGCATTACTAAGAATATTAATCTAAGTTTTGTCACATCTGGCATCCAGTTAATTTTCTATGCATTGAGTCATCACGCAGAGCTTGTTCTCTTCAACTTATTCTTATTAGAATCAGATCAGACCAAATCAGAAACATTTTTAAATATAACTACAAACATATCAGACCAGACCTTAATAAAACCACAAATCCAATCAGATAAGACAAAGAGAACAAGCTCGTAGTTACTCAATTTTTATTCCCCACACCCCACTTAGATGAACTGAAACAGAAAAATAGAGACTATAAAGATATATGCATTGATGAGTGAGATACCCCCAAGCCCTGTACACAAACTATGAGAACACATTCAAAAAAAATCAATGATGATACGCATGCAGCAGATTGTGTTTACTCCACCTTTCTGAATGGAACATCGCCTCCTAGCTTAATTCCAAACATGACCATACGAGCTACCCAGAAAAAGAGAATATCATGTCCAGTTTCAAGGACAGAAGTGGGGTAAAATGCCTTCAAGTCTTCAGCATCATCAGGCCAGCCCAACACAGATAATGGGAAAAGCCCAGAAGAGAACCATGTGTCCAGAACATCAGGATCCTGAGAAAGCTGAAATATTTGTCCACCAAAGATCCTGCTGGCCTCTTCTTGTGCCTCCTGCTCATTTCTGGCGACAACCCAGTGATCCTTATATGAACCAAATTCCTTCAGTTCATCATCATCTAGTGTCACATACCAAGCAGGAATCCTGTGACCCCACCAAATCTGCCTTGAGATGCACCAGTCACGAATATTCTCAAGCCATCTGCAGCATTAAATCCTTTCGAATATCAACAAATATAGTCAATGATAAACAAAATAAGAAACTTATAATTTAAAGACGAGTCAATTTACTTAAAGACTATCGCACATTTTCACTTGGATTGAAGATGACCGGTCAGACCTCAACATTAATAACACAAAGTAGAGCAGAGTAATGGCTGTAATTCTAAAACCCATGATACTTTTATTCAGCTTGCTTTACATGAAGCGCGGGGTATGTACAAAGCTAAAACAAATACAACAACCCTGTAGAATCCCACGAAGGTCTGGGGAGGTTGTGTTTGTGCAGATCTTACCCCTACTCGAAAGCAGGGTTTGGGGAGGGTGTGGGTACAAGGCTAAAACATGATACAAAAACTAGGCCTATTGAATCTATATTTAATCTTTGAAGATAAACCAAAAATCCAAGAGTCAAGTTAGATAAATTTGTTGAATAACACCAACTACCCATCATTTTCCACAGAGATCAACTGTCAAATACCTCTTCCATTCAGCTGTATACTGTTTTGGGAGGATATACATTTTCATGTTTTCTTCATCTGTGACAGCGTCGAGAGCTTGCTTGCCCATATCTTTGCAGTTCACATACCATTGAGGCTTAATCAGATGTTCCACAACATCATTGCTTCGTGAACACATGTTAAGGATCATCTCATTATTCTTATCACCTCTGTAGAGGCCCTGAAATGTATGAAAGCATAATAACATAATTAAGGTCACTGCAAAATAAAACACATTTCATTCATTGGAATTGATCAAGAGTAGATTATGCAAACGTTGGCATACGATATTGAAGCCCAACAAATACAAGTATCAGACCAGATTCAATAATCGTAGAGCTTTAAATGTCATACTGTATGCAGGGGTAAGCTATCAAATCACCTTTCTCCGTAAAGCTTCAATGATAGCCACGCGAGCCTCAAAACGTGGCATTCCGCTAAATTCTGGAGCCCCATTGGCATTAATTTTCCCATCATCGGTAAAAATGTTGATGAGCTCCAGATTATGGCGTTTACCAACCTCAAAATCGCTAGGATCATGTGCTGGAGTAATCTGGAAATGAAGCGTGTTGATTCATTAGAACTAACATCACTACGGGTATGAGAAAGATTGATAGGAACAAGTTCATTTCATACCTTTACAGCACCAGTCCCAAATTCCATGACAGCTATTGGATCGCAAACTATTGGAATTTTCCTCCCATTAAAGGGATGAATTGCAAATTTCCCATGGAGATGATGGTATCTTGGATCTTCAGGATGTATGGCAATAGCTGTATCTCCCAGCATTGTCTCCACTCTGGTAGTGGCAACCACAATCTCTCTTAATTCCCCTTCCAAGGGGTAAGCGAATAATGTCAAAACTCCAAACTCAACAGGATTTTCATATCCGGGAACCTTTAATGGTGTTCTCTCTTTAATTTGAACTTTAACCACCTAGAAACACCAAGCGTTTTTAAATACGTTTTTAAATAAGTATAAGTTGCACTCATAGCTAAATAACAGTAAATGAAATTTCCATGACAGGATAGAGGCGCAGGTCCTTTGGAGCTGCAGAAAAAATTGACTTATGATAGGAAGTTGCACTCATAGCTTAATAACACCTATGAATTGAGGAACTAAGGATGTTTCCAACACCGATAGCAGCTCCCTAAACTATGAGTGGCTTAAAGGAAATAGACAGAATAAGAGCAAGGCAGCAGGTATAAAAGGACTAATCACTAATCTCAGTCTGTTCAGACTTATTGGGATTGGAATCCTTGGTGGTGGTTTCTAGGCCAGCATAGCCCAACCTTGCCGCTCTTCTTTCTTTCCTCGCAAGCAGGATGCCATTGCAAGTTTAGCGAAGCTGGGCCTTGTAATGAAGGAAGAATTGGACGTGGAAGGTAGAATGGGCATCAAATAGCATCATACAAATAGAGCATACCTCCTCACCAGATATTGCCGTCCTCAAGGCACAATCCCAATTCACTAGCCGAAGATCCCTAGGTTGAAGAACAAAATTTTAAATTGGCAACGGGACACTACAACAGTCTTGTTTGAGAAAGACATTTTATATCAGGGTAATATTACTGGAGAGAAAGCCAATATTGCATACCTATATATAAGGCCTTCCTGGTAAAGCCTCGGAAACAGCTCTGGACCTTTTTTCGTCCATAGTAAAACACTGTTTTCCAAGTTCAAGCAGTTAAAGTAGCAAGGTTTACATAAATTACCAATGCATGACTCATGCCCTACGTTCAAGATTAACTCTCACCTCACGAGACCAGTCAAGGGACGCACCCAATATACGAAGTTGTTTCAAAATGGTTCCACCAAATCTCTCCTTCCACTTATAAGCCTATTTCCAAAACATTAACAAATTCTTTCAATACAATAAGGTTAACTGATAGAACTCGAGATTGGTGGAGAAAATAAATGAAGGATAGTCTTTATCAAATTATGAAATCAGGATCTAACTTCATAAATAACAAAGATGAAGGAAAATCTTTATCAAAATATGAGCAAGAATCTTAAACTCATATAACTAATAAAGCCAAGGAGAATCTCCAATGATAAATTTCTATGTAATCTTTCATAATCAATAAACATGACTAGATGTCTATTTATACAAAGAGACTCTAACTTCTGCTAGTAATAACTTACTTATAACCACCCACTAACAAAGTGGAATAACTTACCCTAAACCTCCCACTAACTAAGTGGGAATAACTGACCCCTAACTTCCCACTAAGTGGGATTAAATAATTATTAAATCATAAATATGAAAAATAAAAAGACTCAACAAATAATTAAATAGTTCTAATTACTTAAATATAATATGACTTAGCCAACCAGCTTGGAACCTATCATTAACGATCTTCTTGAATTACATAAGAAGAAAAATTTTCAAAGCCTGATTGTAATGGCAAAAGGCATGAGTTATACAGAAAACATTTCTGTACCAAAATGTTTATCGGTACTAAAATGAAAAACTCAAACTCACTTCAGATACAAATTCTTCACGGCCAATATCATGCCTTGTCAATTGCTTTCTGTCCATAAGCCACTCCTCCACTTTCACCTATAAGCAGCATTTTGTCGTAAATATCAGAAGAAGGCTGTGAACAGAAAACAGCAAAGACGTGCAGATCCAATGTTCAAAGTTAGGTATATTTTTTGAAGGATAAAGGCCTAAAGGGTTCCATTAATAATACAAAATTCCCACCTGTGTAGCAATGCCTGCATGGTCTGTACCAGGAACCCACAACACATTATACCCAGACATTCTTCGCCATCGTATAATTGTATCCTGTAAACACGGAAAACTAGTGAATCAGTGAACAACTGAACATAAGGAAAACAAAATGAGCTACCAAGGAAAGGTCGTATATAGCACCTGGATGGCAATGGTCAGGGCATGGCCAACGTGTAGTTCTCCAGTGACATTAGGTGGTGGTAGAACCTGCAGTTAGCAAAAAGAAAGATTAACAACTATGCAACGATCACAAGGCGACAGTTTAAAACTCACAATCGTGAACGGAGGTTTGGAACTCTTTGGATCAGCTACGAAGAAATTAGATTTTGACCACCACTGGTACCACCTGACAGAAATTAAAAATCACTTTGTCATCTAAATTCGAAAATTAAATAAAGCACAAACAAAATTTCAAACTCACGATTTCTCCACAGCATTAGGATTGAATGACTTCGCCATCTGACGGGAAAGCTTTTTCTTCTGTCCCAACGGGGTTTCAGGATCAAGAAAATCTTCGGGGTTTTCTTCCCTAGTATCTCTTTTAGAATTCTTTTTCACTGCCTTTTCAGCGCCAGAAGTTGGCTTTGTCTGAGTGCAGATGAACAGAAGCAAAGAATTGTACATTGATAACAAACATCAATTTTATAGGCATTCTATCATGTGCACGCCAAAACAACAATCAACTGTGACAGATAAGATGGGAAGGTCTTGGGACATACTTGAAACTTAGAAGCTTCCGCCTTTTGCACAGCCTTAAGTTTCTTCCGTTCTTTGTCTTGAGCCTATGAAGCAGATAAGAAAAGAGTTAACTTTGATCAGAACAATGGATGAAAACCCTGAAAAATTCCTTAGAATAAATGTTGTAACTAAAATTACCACAACCAAAAACATGTAGCATTATAAAACTTACCTAGATCTTTCAAAACTTACATCACCAAATTAACATAATATGACATACATAACAGTGATACCATGCTTGTTCCAATAATATGCGTGCACTTTGTAAATGATACATTACACACAAGATTGTCATTTATAGCTCGTATACCTTCTCTTCTTTCTTTTTTTTCCTCTCCAGTTCCTCTGGAGTGAATTGCCGCGAAGTCATACTCCCCCCCTGTATCATTCATAAATCAGAACAAATGGTTACATAAAGAAAAAAAGGACCCATATACCTGAAACCTGCAACTGAGTGGTGGTGTATAGGGGTGTGCACTCGTCCAAAACCGGATTGGACCCGATTAGGACCGGAACCGGAATCGTCATTTGTTTGCAACCGGTCCGGGCCTGATTTTTTTTTTACTTTTTCTAGCGGAGTAAAACAAGAGATATTCAACTTTAAATCATATACTCCCGGAATAATGTTCCTTCTTCACTATTCCAAAATCACGAGAACTTTTGTTCATTTGTGCATTTTCGTTGATTATTTGATAAAGTAAAATATTGTTGTCACCCCCCTTGTTTTGTAAAACTTTTGACTTAATTTTTAAATATGTACGTTTTATTTTTTGTTTATATATGAATTTTTAAATAAAAAGAATTGAAAAAACTTAAAATTTTATTCGTTTTGGGTAAAGAGAGGATAATTGTGGGACAGAGGGAGTACAAGACTACAATTAGCTCAAACCATGGAGAAAATAAACGACAAAAAAGAACATGCATTTCTCTCAAATTTAAAAAAACAGATTCATATACACGGCTACAATTAGCTGAGATCATAGAGAAAATAAATGACAACAAAGAACATGAAGAAATAATTTACAAAAAAAATCAGAATCATCCATTTTTAGTGGGCAAAAAAAAACCAGAATCCTCATTGAAAAAGTCATACACTTTCAAATGGAAAAAGAATTGACAAAAAACATTGCATACCTCGACATCCATTCTTGGACAAAAATGGAGACTTGAAGATGCGATTGTGCTCAATGGATGGACGGAGGAGAAGAACGGCAGACGACGGAGGAGAAGAACGGCGATTGTGCTAAATATGTACGTTTTATTTTAGTGTTCTTCTTTCACTATTATTGAGTATGATGAAGTGCCTAGCAAATGCTTTGAATTTGCTATCACAATTTATAATTCGACAAATTTAAGTTAATTACATTTTATGTCCATTCGTATATCATCTTTGTCGTTCCATATAATTACTTTAGCTCATTATATATATATTGTTGGGAATTAAAACACACAACACACACAAATATCTGCGAGAATCAAGAGAAACGGAACACAAACGACACACAAGAATTTAACGTGGTTCGGTTTCCCTAATCCACGGCTGCAACAGGAGGAATTTCTTATTTCACTTGTGGTGCCGATTACAAGTACAAGTATGCAATATATATATAGGAAGAGCGCAACTAGGGTTACAACAAACGGGCCGGGCCTACAAATCAAGCTCAAGCCTCCACAAACCCAACATTCTTCCACTTGGAGGCTTGATAGTCATCAACTGCCATCCGCCGCGATTGCTTGTACATCGAGTAATCTTCCTCAGCTCTCCTGTTACAGCGGCCCTCTCATCAGACAACTGAAAGGCCCGTTGAAGTTCTCCCAAGCTCCAACACATCAGTCATGGCTAAATCTGCCACTAACTCGTCCTCGGTCCCTACCGGCTCCCACTGCAGACGCACATTGCCGGATCCTAGAACATCCTGAGAACAAACACTCTCCGTACTCAGCAAGAAATTTTCTGGAGATCTTCCAACAGCTGAAATACTGGTTCTCCTGACCCACTGTCTTCTAGGCAACTTGGCTGAAGCGCCTCTTGAGCTCCCACTGCCACAAATACCTCTGACTGGCCCCCTTGAACCTTTCCTCGCTCGTTCATCCTGAGTCTGACCTGTGGCTCTAGGTTTCTCTCTTGCATAGACAACCTTATTCTGCCCACAAGACTCTGTGAACCGGACTTTGTTTCTCTTCTGAACTAGGACGGTCACTCCCTTAGACGGTCACTCTCTTCTGAACGAGATCTCGAATCTGATCAAAGGTGAATCCATCGGGTCCCACTGAACCGGTAACTGCAGTAACCGTTCCGGACCAACTATCAGGTAAAGACGATAGCAGTAGTAAAGCTTGAACTTCATCATCGAACTTAATGCCCACTGACAAAAGTCTGGCTAATATCGAATTCAACTTGTTGATATGCTCAGTAACTGAAGCGCCTTCTTTCATTTTTGTGTTCACCAGCTCTCTTATCAGAAAAACTTTGTTCGCTGCAGATGGCTTCTCGTACATGTTAGACAGCGCATCCATAATTCCCTTCGATGTCTTCTCCTTCAGAATGTTGAACGCAACATTCTTGGTCAATGAGAGACGGATCACAGACATTGCTTTCCGATCCAAACCTGCCCAATCTGCATCCGACATTTTTTCTGGCTTGTCACCCAAAACCACGTCCAAATCTTTCTGAACCAGCAAATCTTCAATTTGCATCTTCCACCAACTGAAATCTGTACCATCGAACTTCTCAATTCGGAACTTCCCATCTTCTGCCATATCACACGACTAGACGAGATACCCGGTACAACTAATTTCAGATCTTGGTAATTTCGTTAGAAAATCAAGCCCACCACACTAATTAAATATGTCCAAACCAAATAAGCCCAATATCCAGCCCACCCAAAAAAAACTGCGGCCCAAACCAATGGAGAAAACCTGACCACTGCCTCTCTTTTCCTCTTCGCAATTTTCCTCTTCGCAAGAAACGGCCGCTGGAATACTGGGCGACGGCAGCGACACACTCGACAACTCCTCAGCGGCGGCACCTTCTCCAGACGGCGACAGAAACGGCGACTTCCTCGAACCAGCAGCACGACTGAGGGCGGCGGTTCAGGATCTGTTATCGATGGCGGCGGCGGCGGCTCCTCCACGCGGCGGCGGCTCCTTCTGTCGCTGCTCCTGCGTGCGGCGGTTGTACGCAAACAGCAGCGACGATCCTCGCGGCAACGGCGGCAAGACACAGCGGCGACGATCTGATCTGACGGTGGCGGCGCAATCTGAAACGGCGCGGCTTCGCGGTGGCTCCTCAACCTGGCGGCCGGCGGATCTCCTCTGTGCGCGGCTTCACGGCAGCGGCTAGGATCTGGATTGCGCTGGCACGTACGGTTCCCAAGAACCCTAGGCGACAAATTTTTCTCACAATTTGTGTTCTCGTGTGAATAATCTGGAACCGATACCATTTGTTGGGAATTAAAACACACAACACACACAAATATTTGCGAGAATCAAGAGAAACGGAACACAAACGACACACAAGAATTTAACGTGGTTCGGTTTCCCTAATCCACGACTGCAACAGGAGAAATTTCTTATTTCACTTGTGGTGCCGATTACAAGTACAAGTATGCAATATATATAGGAAGAGCGCAACTAGGGTTACAACAAACGGGCCGGGCCTACAAATCAAGCCCAAGCCTCCACAAACCCAACATATATATATATATATATATATATATATATATATATATATATATATATATATATATCATTATTGCTTATAACAATCAGCCTGTATGCAAAAATCTATACAAGTGTAAGCTTTGTGTAATTGTGGTTTTATATTAATTTTAAATGGTTAAATGGTTGCGCAAAATTTATTACATCATGACTTCATGTAAGTGTTAAAAGCCTCTAAGCAAATTGTAGACTAAGAATGACCTTCACTTTGTTGTGAGTATTGGCACAGATTGTTGAAACATGTAGTGAGTAGTGGTTATTTGAGGCTTAGAACGGTGGATGATAATGTTGGACACATAGCTATGTTATTTTTGTACAAACACAAGACAAATACTGGACGATGGGTCGACACACAAATCCCAAGACAAACACTTGGGTCACACAAACACAGACATCTTAAATTCACGACACCTTTGACGAGGTACTCTCACCCCCTTCCACCCGCTAGCTTGTGCTGTTCTTCATCATGGAGGTTAGCCTATCATACTCCCTTTTAAGCTTCTTTTCTTCTTTTTCTTCTTAAAAAAAAAGTACTTACAGTACAAAAGACTAAACATACATAGTACAAACACAAGACAAATACTAGACGATGGGTCGACACATAAACCCCAAGACAAGCACTTGTGTCACACAAACACAGACATCTTAAATTCATGACGCCTTTGACGAGGTACTCCCACCCCCTTCCCCCCGCTAGCTCGTCCCACTTCTTCATCATGGAGGTTAGCCTATCCTAGGCCCTTTTAAGCTTCTTTTCTTCTTAAAAAAAGAACTTAAAAAAATCTAAACAAACATAGTACAAACCCAAGACAAATATTGGACGATGGGTCAACACACAACCCCCAAGACAAACACTTGGGTCACACAAACACAGACATCTTAAATTCACGATGCCTTTGACGAGGTACTCCCACCCCCTTCCCCCGCTAGCTCGTCCCGTTCTTCATCATGGAGTTGTCCTCCTCCCTTTTAAGCTTCTTTTCTTTTTGAGCGAGGCGTTGTGGGTTTGAGTCCTCGGGACATTTTCCACTCGCAATGTTTCTGATTTTTGAAACCACTTTTCTCAAGCCTGCTAAAGTGATTTCAACGTCACTAATCTCATCATCCATTTTTGTTATTTTTTCATTTTTATTGCACAATATTTTTTTTAGTACAATATATGTGGAGTAGCATTCATTATCTATTTTGTTTTTTTTGTTTTTCCTTATTCTCAAAACATTTGTCTTAAATTGCTTTAATATTAACTTTGATTACATATTCAATATAATTTGCAATGCAAAATTTTAAAAATGTGATGTACAAGAATTTTTTATATACCAAAGAAACTTTTGTGGGATAGAAAGAGTGTACAAATTATATTATACTTATTCAATTTTTTAAAAATTTTATTCTAGATATTTTAAATTTTTTAATTTCTTCTAACTATTTTCTATTTTTCAAACTCAATCTAATTCATTCAAACTAATTTTAGTTCTTCCCGTAATGATTTAAGTTTTTTTGAACTATTGTTGAAAGAAACAAAATTTAATTTTAATATGTTGGATTGAGTTAGAAAAAATAAATTAATTGCTAGAAGCTGAAAAAATTGGAAAAAATCACGGCAAAAGTTGAATTGAGTAAAACTCATCTTTCCACCAATTATTTTCAAAATTTTCCAACCCAATCGAATTTATTTAAAATTCAATTTTTTTTATAGTTCTTATTTAGTAAAAATTATATTTCATTTGTAATCAAAGTAAACATTAAGGTCAAATAAAGAACTAAAAAGAGTCATAGTATATAATTAAAGCTACACTCCATATATTGTATTCAAAAAAGAAGAACAAAGCTACTCCCTCCGTTTCTTAAAACAATTCCTCTTTCATTTTTTTTTGTTTTTTCTTAAAACACTTCCCCTTTCTATTAAAAAACCACTTTTACCGCTACTTTTTCATACACTACCTATCACATCATACTTTTTCACTAACAACTAAACTATCACATCTTACTTTTATTCATCACATCAAGGGCAAAATTGGAAAGTCAACTACAATTTAACACTTCCTTATTTTCCCCCAAATTCAAAAGATGCACTATATGGCACTCAAAGAAGCACGGGACAAGCGAGGGGGACTAACTATTGGGACAGATTGTTTTTCTTTCTTCTCAAAACATTTGTCCTAATTTTGCTTTAATATTAACTCTGATTACATATTCAATATAATTTGCAATAAAAAAATATAAAAATTTGATGTACAAGAAGTTTTTTACCAAAGACAACTTTTGTGGGATAGAAAGAGTGTACAAATTATATTATACTTATTCAATTTTTTCAAAATTTTATTCCTGATATTTTTAACTTTTTTAAACTATTTTTTATTTTAGAACTCAATCAGATTCGTTCAAACTAATTTTAGTTTATTCCCGTAATGATTTAAGTTTTTTTGAATTATTGTTGAAAGAAACAAAGTTTTGTTTTAATAAGTTGGATTGAGTTTGAAAAAATAAATTAATTTTTTGAAACTGAAAAAAATTTGGAAACAATGACGGCAAAAGCTGAATTGAGTAAAACTCATTTTTCTACCAATTGTTTTCAAATTTCTCCAACCCAATTGAATTTATTTAAATTCATTTTTCTTTATATATCAACTTTTTATAATTCTTAATTAGTAATAAATATGTTTCATTTGTAATCAAAGTAAACATTAAAATCAAATAAAGAACAAAAGATCAAAGAGCAACCCTAAAGAGAGATTCACCCCTTCAAATATAGACCAAGGAAATATAATAAGAGATTGTCGTTTCCTATTACCCGTTATTTAAACTGTCTCCCTGATTCTTTTCGACTTTTTTTGGAAATTGATTCTTTTCACAAGATTTTAATAGCATAGACAAAAACACAAAAGTGGAATAAATAATATTTGAGAAATTGAATGTATACATAACAAAGTTTGTTTTTGTACCAAATTTTCTGAAAAACTTCAGGGTATATACGGAGTAACATTTTTGGTATAGTTTTAAGGGTTTTAATTTTCATCTAGGACTTATACTTTTAATCAAGTCTTTGTCTTTACTCGCGAAACAGCAACATAAAGCTGACCATGATTAAACACCGAATTGGTTAAAAATAATCTAACAAATGACAATGTTTGATCTTGAATTTTGTGAATAGTCATAAAAAACATAAGGCTATTGGAAATTGTCTTCTCTAGAACATCAGTGGCAGTTTTGTATCAGATGATACTAAATTCATCCAAGGTATGTAAGATTCCCCCCCCCCCACTTGATTTCCCAAAACCAGAATAGCCTCAATAACGTTCTTTCGCAGTTCATCAATAATTAATCTTGTACCATTACACAATCTAGATGTTTGGTCAGCGTTCCTTAACATAACTTGTAACCCCCCCCCTTTTAAAAAAAACTATTTATGGTTTGTAATCACTGAACATTTGATTTCATTCAAAAACTCAACTGTTATCTAGTCACCATCAACACCTGCATCTTAATATGCATGCCATGAGGAATCAAAACTCAAGTACACCATTTCATCTTCGGGAATGAGTGATAGGAAAAATTCATTTACCATTTCTACAACTTTGAGCGTAGGTGCCAGTAGTGTCATGTCCTCAAAAAAAGAATAACTTTTCATATTCTCAAATAGATTTCGATAAGTGAAGTCCACTATACTCTAGAGGGGAGTCGGGGAGAACTCGTGTCTTGTTCCATCAATCAGTTACGAGAGAGATCAAAAAGACAACATTTTTTCCAAACAAAAGTGATAAGTTTGTTTAACAAATATAGTAAGATTAAACCAAAGTTGTACTATACATTTCTTAACCTCATCCAAAACAAAAATTAAGCTATAAGTACTTCCATGCAATGGATGTGACGTTTACAATATTGGTAGAGTTTCACAATGTTTTACTCACGTATCATTTGGTTAAGGTTAGGTGTGATAGTGAAAACTACTTGATTAAGCTATGGCCGCAATATTATGTGACCTATTTATTTAATTTACCTCTATAAATTTGTATGTGTATATAAAATGCACCATCCTCTTCAAAGTTCATTACCAAAATACCAAAATATATCATCTCCAAAAACTTGGGCCAAAAATGGGCATAACCATATCAAACACAACTATTGCCATTTGTATGATCTTGATATCAACCAAGTTTATGGTCACCCTCTCTAACCCAATGTGCCCATCTGGGTATCCGAACAGTTCGACCCCGGTGTACAAAGAGGACATCGACTTGATGCAATTTTCGGGGAATTTGGAGTTCTTGGAAGCCGAGTTCTTCTGTTGGTCTGCTTACGGCTATGGCCTCGACATTCT